ATGTACAAATATTTATAGACTTTAACAACTTATTATTTTAGATTAATAAGGTATGCACATACTATATACATATGTATTTATGTTTGTTATCAGCTTGTTTATGCTCTTTCTCCCGCCGGCGTTGTTTGTTTTGTGTAAAAAATGCAAGGAAATTCTTGAAGTAATACTCACCACACGCATATTTTTAATGCTTGGAAGAACACGTTTGGTATCAGCCTCTTTTTTAATAAATATTTCGTTGATGACCGAGCCGACAACTTCTTTTGCCGCACCCACTGCTGCATCACCGGCCACATTTAGGAATTCTTTTCCTGCCTGCTTGAGAAAACTCTTCAATTCATCCATTTTGATATTGAGAGTACTAGAAAGAAACGATTGGAAACTTATAGTAGTCATGTACCATTTATTAGCAGTTTCGGCAAATACAATTAATACAAAGAATTAAATTAAGAAATTTATTACATGCGTTTATTATGATTGGAAATATATGACTAATCCGTAGTGTTTGCTCTAATGATTAGCTCAAAAGAACTTATAGTATATGTTGTCATTGGCTATGTRCATATGAATCCAGAGCTAATCTAAAAAAACTAGTTCGTGTAGATACAGATGGAYGGACAGGCAGACGGACATGGCTAAATAACTCGTCACTTTGATCATTTAAATATACTTTTAAAAGTTTTCCGATGTCTTGTTCTGGGTTTTCATTGCATTTCAAGATACCCTGCTCACTTGAGTTTTTGAAAGATGTGGTGTGGTTTAATGTAGGTATATGTACATATGTATATGTATGTGTATTYATATTTATTTAATCGTGGTTAGTCAATTACTGCAAGTTAAATAGATTATCAATATATTGTTGACAACCTTGCATAGCATAAGTTGCATTATTCACTATTAAATCTATTAGAGGAAGTCGGCCATATTGAGTATTTTGTTCCAATTTCATAGTGTGATATTGAAAAGGAATCAATTTCTTTTTACATTTGCCCTTGTAACATTTCTTTCACCTTTAATTATCAAATCCAAAAACACATCACATTGAATCTATAAATAATCAAAATGCTGAAATATTGTATACCTTAAACAATAACTGAGAAGCGTCCACTTTTTATGTTGGATATCAAAATATTAACACGTAGTTTGTAATGTATACCTGTCTAAGCACGTTTTAAGATTTTTATAGAATTGATTAATAACGAATTAAGTTAACCCATTATATTTTATGACATCATCATCTGGAATTGCTCTTATAAAGATCCCACAGGAAGTTCACAGATGCGTTATTTCTACCGGTATAGTAAACACACATTCAACACTTATCTTTTTACACCCACCTGTAATTTTTATTTATTTGTTTACACTTTTATTTATTTTTTGTTTAAACCCTAAGCAATTGTATTTGCTTATCCAAAATTGATTCCATCTAGAGAAAGTCAGCTGCCCAATGTACATATGTTGCTATATATGTGTGTGTGAAAAGCGGCTCGGTACRTTCCGCGAGTTGCTTATACACTGTGAGACTATTATTTTTTTAATTATAAACACCCTTAAAAGTCTCTATAATAACATACAATATATAACTGTAAGAAAGCTATATATATATATATCATTCATAAGCAATAATTTTATGTTTGTATTTTAATTATATTAAAAGAAAATGAATGAATTATTGCAAATTTCGAATTCGTTATTATCGCCGTTATTTGTTTGAAGAGATTATTTCATGTGAGTGACGCTGTAATGTTCTTGCAAACAATTGTTGCTAAATACTTGACTACTGAGCTGCCAGATTACTTTTTCCGGATACAATTATGATATTCATTAAATATTTTAGGCTGGCAACGTTATCGAACTTGCAATTAAAATTAACACAGAAAGACTATGTTGTGCTAGAATTCTTTTCACCATGATTGAAACTTTATGAACATGTATACATATGTATGTAACTTTAGCTTCCACACCACGCAATTTGCCGTTTAATTATATGAATTTAAGCACATTATTATATGGGAATCAAACACACTCTTAATATAACTCAGCCAGTCCAATTTAATGTAAAAATTGTATGTATGTATATGATATTTCTGTTTAAAATGTTATGAATATAGTTTAATATTATCAATTAAATCAAATATGTATATATATATCTTACAAGAACAAATTTTAATTTAATTTACATAAACCTACAACTGATTTGAAGTTATTCATTATTTGTAATTACATAATAATAGATTGTTAGATTTTTAAGGTGTAAATTGTCACTATTTTTCTCTCCTCTTTCCGTGGTTCTCAAAGAGGACTGGCGTCGGATTCGTCACGTTCGTGAATTGCAGTTATGCTCTGTTGTAAGGCATTTGGTGTTAGCCATTCTCTATAAACAAAAGTAATTTATGTCATTTATGTTAGCTTTCGTTAATTTAATTTAAAAATAAATAATAATAGTAAATTATATATTACTTTGGCAAGCATCTTTGAAGAAATGGCACACAGGAGCTAAAATGAGCTAGGCGATTTACCCAGCTAGGGATTTCTTGGCCACAAAGAATCTACAAACAGCACGCACACACTTGGATTAAATTTACAATTTTRTAAGCAATCAATATATACACAAACCTGAGTAAGAGAGCTTGAAAAATGATTGCAGTTGTTGTTCATTAAGTGATATCGATCGCCACGAAATTGATTACCCAACTCATCGACAATGCGTCGAATTTCTTCATATGTAAAATCAGTGCAGCCAATTTGTATACTTTGTCTAAATTGAAACTGCTCACCCAACTCGTCATGATCTCGAGGTGTTATTTCGAAAACACCTGTAAACGGAAAAGGATGTCCTCCATATGCGAACTCTGTGCCGAAAATTTCTACGCCGGAATGAAAAACACCTAATCCTATCGATGTAGTATATTCATTTATCCAATACTGCAAAAACAAAATAAATAATTATGTATTTTGTTCTTATTTTAGAAAACAGTAAATGTATACAATTACCATGTCATAGACATTTAAAATAACTGGTTCACGATTACTCATGTTTGATGGTAGTAATTCGTCGCTCCCGCTGTCTTTTGGTACGCCAAGGCAACTGGGAAATGACAAATTGCAAGGTAGGCCGTTCGAAAACATTATATGTATGTATATTAAAAACTCCGATGTTATAATAATATCAATATGGATGAAATAAAATATTCTTCAATTAATAATCCGATAACGTAACGAGGTTATTTCTTGTGAGCAAAAGAATCAAGCATTTAACTATAAAACGCGCTTGGATCTTTTCGTTTGTTATGTTTGTATGTTTTTCGAGAGGGTACTACTATTTAGATAAAGCTTTTGTGGAGGAAGACTACGAAAATTATCAGATGGTGATGATTCCTGTGAATAAACAATAGTGTACTTTAAAATTTATATGCCTTAATGTAAATGTTTAATTTAATGAACATGCATTGATATAAATATAAATTGAAACTATGAATAAATTAACGAATGTTAAAGAAATTTAAGAGCAATTTATTTTTATTAAATATGAAAATAGTTTACACTAAAGGAAACAAAGTAGAAAGAGCTATGTAAACGGAAAAATCATAGCAGAATAACTATATCCGGCCAAAGACCGTTAGAAAAAGAACATTTCTAAAAACTATATGAGAAATGCTATATTATGTCGTTACACCTCCAACTGATTTCGCTAGGTAGTCATTAATCATCTACCAAACAGTTTGTTTATACTACTGATAAGCAAACATAAATTGAGCACATTGTATCGAAGGGTGTCATTTTCTTTATACCCAGCTACTCTCACACACACCTCCTTATGCTTTCATTTATTTGTATGTATGTATGTATGTATGCACTGTGAACAATTGTTCAGTTGATTTATATGAACTTCTTCGTACGTAATATTACAAATTCCACTGTTCTTTACGTATTACATATTTCAAAACGGGAATAAATGGTGTAAATTATGTTTTTTATTCTATAATTTTATATACGTACCAATGAATGGTTGAGTTTCTTGAATACTTTGAGATCTTCTCGTAGGTATCCTAACGCATACAAACGGACGAAGGGAACTCGCTTGGATCATGTTTCTATCCGCGAACAAATGAATCTCCCTCTATTAGCGTTTCAATATAACATTTAGAAAATTGTTAGTTGACAGCAGGATCCAATAAAAATATCTGAATGCATCTGCCATCAAAAATTTTCCTCTGCAATAATTTTAGCGTCTTATACCAATGTTGATTTTCGTCCAGGTACGAATGAGAAAACGAAACACATCTTTTTGACACTTGGTTGCCAAACTAATAAAATTATTCAGAAATATTAACGAAAACGTTGCCACATTCAGAAATATAAAAATTATTAAATTGAAAGTACATTCACAGAAAATACAGTTATTTCGCCACAAACTTTAATCCGATTAGTGGTGAGTATATGAATTAACGTCACGATTCCCCCCAATAATCCTTTTTTAACTATAAAATAAAAACTATAACTTATGTTGGAATTATTTTTATTTCTATACCCAACAATAAAATGGATGCAATTAATTAGTTATTTAATCATGCCAACATAAACGGTAGCTTTAATCGATAGACTTCATTTTGCATAAATATGCGGTTGGAAGAAGTTTAACTTCGTCATTGATCTGGCAAAGACTGGTATCCTTGTCAGAAATTGATCGAACTTTACCCACCGACTCTCTTTCGTCACCAAAGATAACCTTGAATTCGTCACCAACCTCTGGTGGTACTGGTGCTAAATGTTCGCTTACGATAGACACACTGCGATCCTCTTGGCGCAAGAAAACAGAGCAAACACCATTCGAAACTGTGCGAATTATACCCGTTTGTCCAACTAAATCGGCATCGTCATGTGTATGTATTTTTACCTCAATGTCGGTTGTACACCAATCACCGATTGGTGAGTCTAGACTAGCGCCTGGAGTTTGTGGATTATATGGAGACTGTGGATTACCACCGGGTGTATTCGGTGAATATGTAGATGGTGATGGTGTATTCATGTAACCAACTGGATATGGAGATGGAGCTGGACTGGGGCTTGGATTGAAGGGACTGTAGCTACGATCCGAACCGTATAAAGTGCCTGGAGTTTGTGGTGCAAATTGTGTATTCATTTGATAACCAGGAGTACCTAAAATATTAAAAAAAAAAAAAATAAAAGGGTAAAAACTCTTCATGACTGAGTTTTAACTAGATATAATTACTTGGATTGTAGCCAGGACTGGGGCTAGGTTCTTCCAAAGTGTAGTCAAAATCATTCGTACGTGCCGGAGTATTGGCTATGCTTGGATCCCAAGCGCCATGTCGTGGCGTCATACTGCCATCGTGCGATGGTGTCATTGTACCACTGTAAGGCGTACGTCCTTCTGAATCCCAATTAGGTGTTTGATTACCAAGGAGTGGTGTCTTCGAGCCCACAGCTGCATAGACTGGCGTTTGTGAACCATATCCAGGAGTACGTGCTGGAGTGCGACCATATGTCGATACACTACCGCCCTCTTTTCCGGGAACTCCAGCCATGGCAATATGGTTACGATCAACTGATATAGTTTGACAAGAAGTGTGCAACTCGACACGAACCGTACACTCGGTTGCGTCTTTTACAATGCCAACAACACCTAACAAGAAATAATTTACGAGTTAAAAAAAAATTATCAATTATGTTTTATCATGACTTGAATACCTTTGTATGGACCTCCAGTGATTTTAATTGTTTTACCCAACATTTCGCGATCACGGGTAACGCGGAAACCGCCACGTCCTCCTCTACCACCTGTACGAGCGCCACGACCACCAGAAGGATGCATAGGCGATTGTATACGTGGTGACATAAAACCGAACCCTCCAAGTGCGCCTGCATTATTAGCCTGACTTTTGCTGCCACCAGCCAATTGCAAATGTCGTGTTTTACAAACAAATATACCACCGTTCTCCGTGTACATACGACAATGCAAGAAAGCCAAGCTCCGATAAAGATGCTTAATTTCACCTGACCGACCCTAAATTATAATGATATTAATAAATTGTTACAATCATCTGATATGAATAATTTCTTACAGCATGCGGTCCCTCCATAACTTTAACTATATCCCTCCGTTTTATCTGATTCTGATCTGCATCGAGAGCAATTGAATTGCGATTTTCTCTGCGCTTGTGCAGAGCTGTCGGTTTGCATTCGATAACCTTGCCATGCATCCCTAAAACATGGAAATTTTCCCTTTCCAATCGTACGATAACACCCACATTTTGCGGACTGAAAATAAAGTAAATTAATTATCAAGGAAATAAGAACTCATTAAGCATAATGAACTTACTCAAGTTGTACAAGATCGCCCCATTGAAATTGGCCCAAGCAATCGACACCTGTAGCCACATCGGAACAAAGTTGCAAGTCACGAGGCAATACCTCCAATTCGTGGTTAGTCAAATCTGATACTAATACAATACGCATTGGTTCCACACGTATGATTAAGCCCGTTTCACCTTCGTACCGGCCAGCCAAAACTCTGGCGTGATCACCGGTTTTGAAGAATTTACGTAATTCGCCAGCTTTGAAAATTAAAGGATCCTTCAAAAAAAAAATATTATGTTTATACTTTGGAATATTTTCGAACAATTATTGGCAGTTACCTTGAGATCCTGATGTTTTGGCATTACAGTTATCATGCCACCATCAATTGCAATAATCTTTGCTTGCAAATTTTCCAAGTCACCCACGCAAACCTCAACGTTATCGCCCATTGAAAATGAGTGTGTACTAGTGGGGTCATCCTTGGACCCAGCTACGATCTCCAAATTAACATCTGTTATAAAAAATGATTTAATATAAAATATATCAAACGTAAGAAAATTGCTTACCTTCCGGTTGTTCTTCAAAACGTTCTAATTCTGCTAATGTTGGTTTCACACCATCAACCAAAATAGCAGACATTGTAAAGTTTTTATACAAAAATCCTTTGCGCGAATAACGATTGCCTTCAAAAAGTAAAAAGTCGCCATCTGAATGAACTTCACCGCCAATAGCCCTTTAAAAAATGAACAAAATAGGTTTGTTAAATATTGACAAATATAAAAAAAAAATATGTATTACCTAACAGCTTCTGGATCGAAAGGTTTAGCGACAGGCTTGCGATTCTTTTTACGTTTGAAGTCATCAGATTCCTTTAAATTTTAAAAATAATATTTAGTGAATTCACATACCATATAATTACAATATGGACAATTATTATTACCGTTGCTGTGGTCCTTAAAGCTCCGCGCATCCGTGTATAATCAATTCTGGGAAGTAGTTTCAAATGCACTTGGTTTTGTGCCAAGTCAACATAATCAACTTGAGCTATATCATCCTTATATAAACCACGCTTGAGACGAACCCATTGCTTAACTTTCAATCCCACCTGCTCCTTTACCACTTTTAAAACATCTGTCATTTCCTTGATGGGAACCATTTCCTGTTTCCATTGTCCCATGCGCAAGTTACCCACATTGTCAATAGCGGTTTTAACATGTGTTTGTTTATATGACTCTAAATAAATATAACCCTTTACACCTTCCGGGGCCACAACTGATTTTATTTGTAAGGGCTCATCCGTATTACAATATGTTAAAAACTTGCGCATTAAAAGCAAGGCAGTTGCTTTCTCTTCGCCGATGCGACACTTTACCATCCATAGATTAGGATCTCTATAAATTATTTATAACTTAATATATATTTCTTTTCTGTTGCTTAAAATATTTACTTAATTCCTGGCAGTAATGTTTGCTGCGTAATTTCATCCGACATTTCTTCACCGCCATCACCAAAATGCCGTTTAACAACAGATTCATCAGCATATTTTTTTCGTAAGTATTCCTCAATTTCATCTTCCTTTTGAGTGCTGAAAATAATAATTTTCATAAAATAAGTATAAAAAAAACAAATATTTTTATTTTTCACTTACTCCCATAAATTAGTGCCACGACGCCGTATTTCTATATCACGTGCGGTAGGACCTAATTCATCGATTTCATTGCCCACAATTCCTAGTTCATTAGCTCCTTCTTCCCATTCATCATCTTCATCGACCTATCAAGCAAATTTTGTATGAATACTCACTATTGGTTGTACTTGCACTTAACACAATAAATAATTTACCTCGTCGTCAACTTCAGCTTCGTCAATGATAAAGCCACCAAAACGTTCCTTCTTCTTTTTTTTACGTGGACGATCATCGTCTTCATCCTCCTCTTCGTCATATTCCGAATCCACTTCATCACCATCAAGATCCTCACCATCTTCAGGTTCTTCATCACCAGAACGACTTCTACTTTTACGTTGTCTATTGCGGGATGGACTCTCATCTTCCGAGCCCGATGCATCAGAACGCGAACGTGAACGCGATCGGGATCTAGAGGGCGATTTAGAGCGTGAACCTGAACGTGACCGATAAACCGAACGAGAACGCGATCGTGCACTACGCTGCGATTTGTTTGAACTCAAAGAGCCCTCATCCGACCCACTATCGGAAGCATTACTTGCCTCTGAATCCGACATCGCAATTTTAAATTATGTTAAAACCACTCCGTAAACACTTGAAACACTTGTGTTTTCCACAAAAATTTTTACCAGAATAAACACCAAACCACAAAACCAGGTCTATTTAAGATTGATTTTCTTCACAAATACAGAGTGGAACAAATATACAAAAAAAACCAGAAACACGTGGAAATGAAACAAAAAACAGAGAAGTCTGAAACTTTACTATTGAGAAAAAAACATGAAGTAACAAAATATAATAAAATTATAACTTAATATAAAAGAAGAGCCTTATAAAATAAGCACACAAGTTTTATATAAAGTATAAAGTTTAGATCAACAGCAAAAAAGCGATAGTGTAATGAATTAAACAATTGTGTTGAACCGTTCCCACAGGACAAAACTGTTCCGGAGTTTTCAATTATTCCACTCCATATCGTTTCAAAGAACAGTTTATTTAGATGCAGGCGAGCAGATAAGTATCACGACAGATAAAAAATGGCAGCGGGAAATTACTGTCAAAAACTCCTCAACAACAGATTAAAACTAAATGAGAGTGGCTAATACAGTGAGCGTTCAAAATAGTTCGATTTTGTCTGCGTGTTAAGAAGTAAAGTTGGTTGCAGAAAACAAATTGTAATTTTTCAGGAAATTATTAGGGTGTTTCAACACGTTTTCACTGCATTTGACTTGAAATTATCAGAATATTTAATCCCAGAAATATTTTTACGCGCCTGCCCATGTCTTCTGTACTCTCAGAAGGCGAAAGCTACAAACTATTTTTTGAATGATTTGTTGTTGTTCATTCCGGAAGAGAAAACTGACAAACCCGCAAAACACATTAAYAAAACCGGCAACATAGTAACAGTGTTCAGCAGGAAATGGCTCACGAGCTCTCTCTGAGCGTGCTTTGAGTTACTTGTTCGAACAGAAGCTTTATAAAATATTTGGCATACTATTTTCRTACAGAAACGATTGAAAGGAAACCAGTTTTAGTCCTAATTAAAAATGAAGTGAAAAATGGAGAGGACTAGACACCAAGGTTCTTGGGTTGCTCTACACTCATGCACTCTAAAAAATACTAACTGATTTAAAACATTATTTTTTGCTAAGGTGCTTTCCTCTTTTCTTACCGCTTTCTATTCAATAAACTACGACTTTTCACAATTTAATTTTACACATCTGTAAGCGATCAAAGGACAATTTTTTCAATTCCATGCTTATTTTATTGAACTCACTGCATTTCGTAAAAAAAAAAAAAGTTAACCCATTATTTCAAATTGAAAGTTTAGAAACAAGACAGCAGCAACTCAAACATAATTTAAAAATATATAGGTACTTTATGTTCGTACATACCTAATTGACGCATTTTCAACTTATTTCATTATTAAAGCCGTATTAAAATTAAAGTAAAATACAACCTTTAGTTATATTCCAGCCAGCTATTACGAAAGGCAAATAAATCCAAAATAAGCTTGCCCACTACTGCATCCACATAAAAAGCATTCCGTTTCTCATTGAATGTAGGCATGCTAATATTTTGTCTTAAGCAAATTTTCCTTGAAACAAAAAATAAATAAAATTAGATTTCTATAATAAAAATAATTTTTATAATACTTACAGTAATTCATTAATAGATATTTTGTTTTTAAAGTACTCTTGTAATTTGAACACGCCAAATATCTTTACAGCAAGTGCCACCATGCAAAACTGGTCAGGATTCTTGTTGTACAGAATTACAAAGGTTAATCTGTCCCTCCTTAAGCAAGGCTCAACAACCTTTGCAACAGCATCACGCAACCATTCTTGAGGATACTTACGAAATATCAAGTCCGACTGGGAAATATAAACTGCAAAAAACTGCTTTTGCAAACATGCAAAGTCTCTCTTTCCGTCCAAACATGTGTGAGTTTTTWTCTTTAAATCAAGGCGCTTTGGAGTACTCTCTCTTTGCATAGATGTGTCTCCATTCCAGCTTATAACAGCATTAAACGAAGTTATAAATTTATTAGGCACTGCTTTAGGCCGTAATCCTATATTAAGTGGTTTTATAAAACCACAAGCCTGATCTTCATATGCAAATACTCTTTCCAATGTATCGAATAAACGGGAAACTGCAGCTAGAAATGAATTAGTTCGTCGCCACTTGTCTACGCTGCCACAATTTTGCAAAAAATTCATATATGCACAATAAAAATATTGTCGTGTTTTTAGTAGAAGTTGAGCGGTTGTATGCTCCATTCTGATTTCAATCCAATCATCTACATAAAATACTGCCACTGTTGATTCTTTTTTATGAATATTGCTTGCAGTTCCAAAATAGTTCCCTGCTACATTCAAGTTGCATATATTTGATGAATCTATCTTGGGTGGACCTGAAACGCAAATTTGAATGTTTAAAGTTGAAGTTGCAAACTATATTTGACCATAAAATCATGCTAAAAACAGCTTATTGTTGTCGTATGTCGACTTCAAGCATAATCGAATATTACTGTACCTGCGAACATGGCCACCGTTAATGGTGATACCAGGGAACAACATCTGGTGCTATTACAGTTAATTCTATTTATATCGTTTCCGTAGACAATCCAATTGGAAGGATATGACCGTGCTTTAGTGTTAAATGGCTCCATAGCTTGCGCACCAAGTACTGACGTTGCATGAATAGCAAGTTCCCTAGGACTATTACATTTAATACATCCTTCATATGTATCCATCATGCAGAGACGGGGATAGAGACCGGCCACAAGTGTTGCTTTAATCATAGGCCAACTGTTTGATTTTAAATTTATGTAATGCATGCTTAATTGCCCTTGATTATGTATAAGTTGTGATGATCGCAAAGCGCCTACTAAATGTGTACGAATATCACAAACTTTTTCTAGAATTCCATTTAAAACATAATCTTGCTCATCTATTAGTACCATTTCGGGATTATCATCACGTAAATTGTTTTGCCATTCTTGATATAAACGCAAATATATCAAATGATCCGAAAGTACATTCTCAGCCAATCGTTTGCGTTCATYTTTAATTTTAGAACATAATTGTTCAAATCCTTGCTTATTACCTATCTCAGTAGGTAATTGGAGGGGATCAATTGTTGACAAAAAACTTACAATTGTCAGTACGGGATCTAAACATTGTAAAAGTATAGCGAAAACGAGCAGTTTTCCCAACTGGCAATCAATGGGTACATCAATTAAGCGACATCCCAACCACGTGACTTCTTCCAGTTCATCAAAAACGTATATTTTCTTCAGAAACTCAACAGTGTTATGGATATGAATAAAAGGTGCTCTAGAAATGGTCGATTGCAAATATTCAGAAACCATGGTATGTGGTGATAATAACTTTACGGTTAAACAAACACGATCCAGCGGCATGTTCAATAACTCCGCTGCATAATTTTTCGGCAATATGTCCACCATAAAAGCAGGAATAAAACGAAAACATTTTACGTCTGCGCCTACATGATAATAAAATTTTATATAAACATATATTTTTGCCATTGCATTTACCACTTACCTATGCGACTAGTTAAACGTGAACGATTTTCAAGAGCCTCTACCGCTATCCAATCATACGCAAGTTCCTTATATCCTGTATCGGAATTATATAACATTCTTCGTGTTCGAGCCAAATCAATAATATAGTTAATTGAAAACTTTGGAATGATACTTTCAATAATGTCTGTCGCAATTACAATATTAATACAGTCGTTTGTTCCTTCTATAACCGTATCTAACTGATCCTTCTCAATATTTTTATGAASCATATATATTGCAACTTCTTGTGGTACATCTCCAATCATTTTACATCGTAGCATCCAATAGTTTATACGCAATAGCTGTTCGTAATCGGCTACTACAACAACTATGTTACCTACAATTAATAAGAAATTTATTTTTATTTTCAATTAATGGAAGTCATTATTTACCAGTTTCCCACTTTGAACTTGTCATCAAAACACGTATAAGATCCAATACTAAGCTGTAATCTAGATATTCGGGATTTGCATATTTTATATTCGAAGTATTGGTTAGAAGTTCTATACATATCATATTTCCTCCAGCCATCGCACTGGATAAAGCATTCAGATTTTGCATATCCATCGTATAGGGATCAGCAAATCTTTCCAGTAAAAGTTTTATGTGCGCCACATTTCCAAGTTTGGCAGCTATAATTATCGCCGTTTTACCCGTTATAGAATGTCTGTAATCTATAGAAATATTTTCACTCCGAACCATATACAAAAACGTTTCTAGAGCTTGATCTGCACCAGTCTGTTCATAGGTTTCAAGAATACGGTCCACATTTAAATTGTTACCGTTAATCAACCGTAACATATTGGTGTTGTTGCTATAGGTTATATGGCTGCGTACATTTGGGTGGCGATCTTTTTCCAAAATTTTTTGTATATGCTCTAGGTGAAACACGTTAGATTTCTGCGAATCCGGTATATTACATTCCAATTGCAGTATTTCACCTTCTCCAAAATACTCCAAAAACTTTAAATTATACTGCGAATTTGAAAGGAGTATTATCTTGAGATGTGCATGGCAACGAAGAGCAGAGCGCAATTCACTTAATAACAAATCTGTAAATGCTTCATGGCGATATACATCATTAACAATTATGTGAGAAATGTGTCGAAAACTATCCACAATACTTTGTCCCATAAGTACACGTAGTAAAAAACTTGAAGTTGTATAAATAAGATTTGAGCCTTCGCTTATTCGGCTTTGGAGATGAATTTGAAAGGCTACAGTATTGCCCACTTTCTCACCTAAATACTCAGAAAGCTTTTCACTATTATGAATAGCCAATATCTGTTCTCTCTCAACGCAAATTATTTTGCAATGAGTTCGTCTTTCAGCACAATTTTCAATTATGTACATAGGCAAGCCCGTTGATTTCTCAAAGATGTAGTCACCGTTTACTATCAATACTCTACTGCGATAAATTGCCTCAAGCAAACCAATTTTATATGATTGCAATGGACAATTGTCTTGAAAACTTAGTTGCCCACGAACATTTTTACGAGCCATTGATTGTTTTAATCCTAAAGAGAATCTGTGGGGAGGAATAGAAGGCCTTATACAATTGGGGCTGAAGAACTCTGGCGACATTTGCATCTCGAGTTGACTACCAATAAAATCACTTTCACGTTGCAATATAAAAAGTTCCTTTTCAGAATGTGATGAAAGTCGCAACTCTGGTATATGCTTTACGAAATGTAAGCAATTCTTCTTAAATACTTTTATAAATTCTATTCCATTATTCACAAATGGACGACTGTTGTATCCAAGTTTATATGCGTACTCAATGAAAGCCGTTCTTTCTGTAGAACGAAAAGATCCACTAAATTTTTGACAACAGCGATTACCATCCTTAAAATGCGTTAATTGCTCAAAAATATATTGATTTACAATATTTTTAATCATAATGTTAAATATGCTTAATATATTAAAAATTCAAATCCCAAACGGAAAATACACTTCAAAGATTTAACACAGGCAAGCTGTTGGCATTGCCAGATTTCATCAAAATTCTTCTATTTAAAAACGTGAATTCATACAAGTTGACATGAAGCAGCTGATTACCTTTTGTTAATTCGCTTCACTATCTGAAGCGAAACCATTCCCATGCATTTATTTGTTATAATTTAAATTGTTAAAATGTTGAAATTATCATTTTTAGGAATTTACAATATATTAGTTTTATTAATATACATATTGTTTTTATTATTTTATAAACGAGTTTATTGAAATTATTGCAAATAAGATGTTCAATTTATTATTGTTTGTTTACATATTGGCATAATAACGATTGCTATACTTATGTTCTTTGAAATAGTCAGCGCCTTTTTCGTGATAATCCTCTTTAGTGCTCAAAGAGTTAACGAAATCGCTGGAATTTGCGAAATCCTTAGCCCCTAGCCAAGCGTCAAGTTCTGGGGACTGGGCAGCATAAATTTTAAAAGATGTCTTAAATGGACGCATTTCAAGAAGTTCTTTCGAAAGACGCTCTTTTAAACCTGAAAACAATTTTCTTTTAATTTGTTCGAACACAAAAAATTAAAAAAAAARYATTAAATACATACCTACGAATTGTGAACATCCGCCTGTTAGTAATATACTATTAACCAATCGTTGCTGTTCAGCGACAGGAAATAGTTTCAGTACAAAATCAATWAGCTCAGCTACGCCCATTTCGGGACATCCGATTAAACTGGGTTGAAAGAGTACCTCGGGAGCTCGAATTGACTCCACACTGAAATGTAACTAAAATAAAATATAAATTTTAATATGGATAAAAATACACACATGCATTTAGTTTTAGACTTGAAATTGTTATATAGAGTTAATTTCGGATAACTTGAATTACCCTGTTGTGTTTTGTAAAGGTAACAAAATAGTTGCAATCATCATAAACAAAATAAATCAAAACAAGACGTAACAACTGCACGTTCAGGAAATATGGCGAAAGTTTTACAATTTGCTTTTAGCGGATTACGTAGAATGAACAAAAATTTGATTACTTCTCCTTCACGTCATTATGCAAAAGCCGCTTATGAAGCTGATGGCAAAACTAAAGTATCAATATTAAACACTGAACAAGAGTACGGCCTCATGATAACCGGGTTTAGTCAATACGGATTTCGCCTTAACAATGATATGGTAATAGTTGGACCAATGGCAATATTTCCACGGTAAGAGAAACAATAAAAAATATATTAAATTAAATAAAAATTTATGATTTTTAAACATTTTCAGTTCAGTTCTTTCTTGGAATGTTAGCTCCTATGAGGATATTAACGAAGACAGTTTGAAATTTTTTTGCACTCTTGAACCTAAAATTGACATTCTTATTATTGGTATTGGAGACCAGCCGGTTACGCAAAGTCTTTCCAAAGTTATCATTGAATTCATGAAAAAATATAAAATTAATGTTGAAATACTACGTACCGAACAGGTAAATTACGGATTTTGAATCAAATATATGTACGTTTTTAATACGCTATTCCACATATAGGCCTGCGCAACATTTAACTTTTTGAACGCAGAAAGTCGTATGGTGGCATCAGCACTTATACCACCAGTACATATTAGTTACAACGAAAATGATATTTTGCAAAGTAAATTGCGTAGAAAAGAGATTTATGACGAAATCGACTGAGATGTTATATATAGATATGATGTTGATATAGAATCGACTAGCAAGAATACAAATATTTGGAAGTATATTAACTAAGGCATATACATAAGTATACGCTAAAATACGTTAGTTGTCTTGCAAAAGCACAACCATATTTTCGAGTTAAACAAAAAYTTTGCTCAAATATAAAGTTTTAGCAAATTAAAAATCAACTTACTTGATAATTTTCAGCAACATCACAACTTTGGGTATTACTTTGCTTAAAGGAAGGATCATGTTGACGAAGAATGTTTTCACATTCTAAGAGTTTCTCATTATCACTGTCACTGTCACTTTCATTATCCTTGTTTATAGATTTATAAACGTCCCAATCGTTGTCATTAACACCGAAGTTATCGATACCTTTATCGTTGTGAGCTAGTAAAGAAATAATACGCATACGTTCTTGTGCCGCTGCAGTATGTCGTTTTGCTGCTTCTTGCCTCCGCGCTTTGCGCGTTTCTTTTCGTTGTAGAATCTCTTCACGTTTATAATTAATATCTGAAAGCCACTTTTCCATAGAAACGTCTGATGGTGGCTTCTTGGTGCCAGATGTTTTTTCTTTTGGAGTACGATTTGCTGCTGAAGCGTCTTGTGTTGATGAATCCATTTGCTGGAGCCGACTACGCAGAGCTGCTATAGATTTCTGTAAATATAGAAGTTACGAATATCTTCCGATTGACATTTATTTTCACTTACATCTAATGTAGCTAAATCGTCTATATTATTTTGTTTTAGTGCAGCTTCGAATTCTTCCACTTCCCCAAGCTCATAAAGTTCTCTCATACTAGTCATAAATCTTAGTTGGTTCTCCATGTCCAACTGCTTGTTTTTAGCTCGTCGTGCATTTATTTCAATGAGACGACGAGTTAACTCCTTTCGTTTTTCAATCTTTTGATCAAGATTTTGTGGCGTATTCTGTGTGCTAGGCAATGCGAAGGCCAACTGAATCTTCTTAACATTTTCTGTATAGTATTCTAGATCGGACCAACGTCTCAACTCTTCCAAATAGTCCAAAGCTACACTACTATGACAATGTAATAATTGCTCTATCCTACTTATCGTTATAGAATTTATATGCATGGGATATTTCATTTGCATAAGACGATACAGATAATGAGTAATATGATATCCGCCTAAATTTAAACGACGCACATTTTCTATTTGAATCTTCCCATCAAGAACGGGTATCACATGTGTTGTGTAATAACCAAAGGACAAAATCAATRAATCTGCACATAAATCATTACGCTTCATGCTAAAAATGGAGTCGATCCCATAACAAACCGACGGAACGCCATAGCACTCAAATAACAACTCGTTCATTTCTGAAAAATAAAATTTACTTTGCAAAACTTAAAARAAATTTCAAGAATTGATAACATACGTTGTCGAAAGTAGTAAGGATTACCCAGAGCTTCTGTTAGCAGTACTGGATGTAAGAATTTATCTTCATTGTTAACACCTAAGTGCGTGAATATATAATCAAATATTTGCTCCTGATTATGAAAGTGTGTAACCACATTCCGGTCGAACTACACGTAATTGAAAACTGAGTTTTATTCACTACGCCTTAACAAATTACATGTGACATTTGCTTATACCTGCGTTTTGAGATTCAAACGAACGGACTCAATATTTGAAATAGCATTTCCGATTTGAGTATGTTTATTTGCTTGCGGATCTGCCACTTCTTTYCTTCTGTCTCTTCTTGGTTTTAAAATGAAGTTTCGAAACTCTAGTAAGGGTTGTGAACTGTTGCTCCAACCAGCCCGGCACTTAAATGAACCTAAAAGTTTATATCATTTGAAACCTTAAAACTTAAGCATTATTTTAYTAATTATAATCTTACCATTATCTATAATGAGTGCTTGCTTTTTATCTACATTATACTTGTGGATTATGTCCGCTTTTTGTGAATTTTCAGTCAGATTAATGATGTTCATTACACTTATAAAAACACCAAACAAACTCCAAACAATTTAAAATAACATAGTTGCAAAATTTTCAACCCAACATTGAGCACAAGGTGATTTGAATAAAACTCATTTATCAGGTTTTGTGAAATGGATTTTTAACAGCAAAACTGTCAAATATAGAAGGGTGCAATTTTTGCGGTATATATCATTTATGTATGACCTCTTGTTAATTTATTTATGTTGTCCATAGAAGTCATCAGGAAAATGTCAATTATTTATAAAATTAAAATTACTCATTATATTTTCGCACAAATACTTCTACATACTCACTAATGAAACCATAAGTTTGTTTCCTAGACGATTTTATTTGTGTTTAAATAACTCATACAATATATTTTTTTATTCAGACAAAATTTATTATTTTCAGTTTTTACGCATAAGAAGTCAGTTAGAAATAGTAAACAGTATTTATCAGAACATTTCAACTAAAAAAGGTTATATATATATATATTTTGCATCTATTATTCAACAATCTAAGAAATTTGCTGCCATCAACAATTCCAACGCTATCTCAGGGGCTATCGGAAACTCGGGAATTTCAGTAGAACTGTTGGTATAACGCACTTTGTATGTAAAGTACATGCAAACCTTTTGGAGAACGTGAGATCTGTAAATTTAATTAAAACGTTATTTTTCAATCAAATAAAATAACAAAATACCAGCAATTATGCTAAGATTTAAGTAACATTATTAAACATGGAGGTATGTATAAATATATACTCAAAAGATGCTGTTGGAGTAGGAAAGTTTTTACGTATTGGGAAACAAAATATAATCATGCAAAATATTGATTAACTAATTAACTTGTGAAATATTTTGAAACAGCAAGTAAGGGCTTTGTTGTAATATTCAGATAGCAAAAATTAGCCATAATTATGCACAAATMAAAAATATCATAACAACTTTGGCAGTATAATAAAACAATTGAGACTGGAAACACACGTATCATTAGAAGTTCAGTAGCTGGATACATTATCGAATAATCTGTGTACTATTTATGTTGTCGAAGAGGTCATCAAGGTTAGTATAAAAATAAATGTATATTAGACTGGTGGCATATAAAATCGTTTTACTTACGGAATTTCTCTAAAATGCACTTCATTTGCTTCATTTTCTGCAAACTGTCCAGGACCCGAAAGCATAGCCTTTATGGTGCCAGAGGTCAGAGCATGCTCTCGTTTTACAATGAATTCTTGGCCGTCTGACGATATTAATTTAACATACATAGCGTCAGGTCCTTCACATCCTCCATAGATTTTGTCACTTCGTGGTTCCTCCATTTCTAGTTATTGTTAATGTATATGTTCGTTTGACCAAAGATTATGACTATTGCCTTGAGATCGAATTCACTAATAATATTTTTTCGAAAATTAGTCGTATATAAATAACAATCGTGCTTTGCCATTAAGTAGTAATGGAATCTTAACAGAGTGTTCACAATGCCACTGTTTTGTATATTCCAGTTCAAAACAAAAACTAAGGCAAACAATATATGTTATGAGTAATGGAGTAAAATGCAAATTCGGGCTTTTATATATTTTATTAAATTTAATCATACACATCTAAAGTTTACCATTTACTTCATTAAAGCAAAATGTCGACAAGTTCTGTTAAATAATGTTACTAATTCATATAGTCCTGTGTGTTTCTTATTATACGTTCCTCTTTAGATAGATCTTCAGTTATTTCCAAGTTCTTTAGTATATTGAGAGTCGGTTTTACGGAAAATATATTTTTTTATTAATAATTTTTGTAGTTCTTTATACTCATATTTTTATTAAAAATGCAGTCTCTTTTGCTTACATCATTACGACATGGAAAATGTTTTTCAAATTCTTTAACATTAGGTTTGGCAGCCTCATCGACGAAGATTTGTAAGTGTTACTTTTGGGGGACTAGGTCATTGTTTTGGTGTATGAATATGGATGCATGACGTTTACCAAAGTATAGCGGTACAAAGTTCATCTCCGGCTGCGATCCTCAAGATAGACATATATACATAATGTAATCAGTAAATTAATATTATACTGACTATGTATAAAATTGCTATCGCTGAGTACATATGTACAATAATTACGTGTAAATTATTAAATTGAATATAACAACAAAGATTGCAGTCGAAACCTGTTGATATAATATGTACCATGTAGTAACTTTGAAAATTAATACAGTTAATAATTTCTGTTATTACTAATGAATTTGTTAATTTCAGCATGTCATCGCAATTTGTCTATATCACATCCATTGTACACTGAAAATGCCAAATCTTTTAAAAGGGGATTTGAACAAAACATAGTTTTGGTCGATGGCGTCCGAACTCCATTCTTACAATCTTTTACTGACTATTCTAAATTAATGCCACACGAATTAGCTCGGCATGCTTTGGTGTAAGTATTGACTCCATCCTCCACCCTCTCTAATTACTAMGCAAAAAATAAAATATAATATTTTAACATTACAGTAATTTGCTAGATAAAACAAATATTGATAAAGAAATTATTGATTACATCGTTTATGGCACAGTAATACAAGAAGTTAAAACATCGAATGTTGCACGTGAGGCAGCCTTATGTGCTGGATTCAGCGACAAAACGCCTGCGCATACAGTTACAATGGCGTGCATTAGCTCGAATGTGGTAAGTATTATATTTGCAATAATTCGGTCTTTTTGAATATAATAATATTACTATACTTCCAGGCTATCACCACAGGTATTGGTCTTCTAGCGACAAATACTTATGATGTGATTGTTGCTGGTGGTGTTGAATTTATGTCCGATGTACCCATTAGGCATTCGCGTAAAATGCGTAGCCTTTTATTAAAAGCTAATAAGGCAAAGACCCCATTACAAAAATTGGCATTACTTTCAACTCTCCGGCCGAATTTCTTCATTCCAGAGGTGAARACTTCTATAATATCAGATTTGGTGTGATAGTACTTATATTCACTATGACCTGTTTACAGCTACCCGCCGTTGCCGAGTTTTCTTCAGGGGAAACTATGGGACATTCTGCTGATCGTTTGGCTGCAGCTTTTAATGTGTCTCGCAAGGAGCAAGACGACTACGCGTTGCGTTCACACACATTAGCTAAAGAAGCTCAGGATAAAGGTTACTTCACTGATGTGGTTCCAGTTAAAGGTTCGTTAAACTTTTTAATTCATATACTAAATCATATTTTTTTTAAATACTGCAGTTGTAAGAATTTTCAAATGTGTTCGTTTTCAGTGCCTGGCAGCACAAATTTTATAGAAAAGGATAACGGTATACGAGTTTCCTCACCAGAAAAATTAGCAAAACTTAATCCTGCATTTGTCAAACCATATGGCACCATTACAGCCGCAAACGCTTCGTTCTTGGTAAGTAATATATATGTTCTAACAATATTTAAGTTTTATTTCAATTATCGCATATTTTAAGACTGATGGTGCATCTGCTTGTGTACTTATGAAAGAAGAGACTGCAAAGAAACTTGGCTTAAAACCCAAAGCATATTTACGTGACTTCCTATATGTCTCACAAGATCCAATTGATCAATTACTTTTAAGTCCCGCTTATGCTATACCAAAACTTTTAAAAAAGACTGGTCTCACGCTTAAAGATATCGACACTTGGGAAATTCACGAGGCATTTGCGGGCCAAATTTTGGCGAATCTTAAAGCTTTGGACTCCGACTTCTTCTGCAAGGACTATATGGGACTTAGTGAGAAATTCGGTGCACCCGATTTGAGCAAATGGAACAGCTGGGGTGGTTCACTGTCAATTGGTCATCCATTTGCCGCAACCGGTGTCAGACTTTGCATGCATACGGCAAATCGTTTGGTACGTGAAGACGGCCAACTCGGTGTCATCGCGGCTTGTGCTGCGGGTGGTCAAGGTGTTGCAATGCTTCTGGAAAGATATCCTGGTGCTACTGCAGATTAAATAGGCATTTATTACGATTTGCATCCACATTCTTCCATTTGCGTCTAGACAGTGTGGCCTTCATTAAGACATTTTAGAAATTGCATATTTAGGCAGTAAAGTGTTCAACATAAAGCGTTCATTAATCGAAAATTTGTAAAAAAAAATTTTTTTTTTTAGTTTTTATTAATATTATCATAAATGTCGAATCTGTATATTATGTCATGTGTAGCTCTTTCATAATTTTATTTAATAAAGTATATAGAAAAAATCATTTCATATGTATGTGCCCTTAAATTTTTTAAGACATTGTTAGTAATTTCCTAATTACGTCTGTTTTGTTCAGCGGCATAATTAAAATAAAACTCATATTTATTATGAATTTATTATTATTTTTATTTACTTATTATACATTTGGAATCAGCTTAAATTCTTGCAATTATTATGTATGTATGCATTTTTCTTAACATGCTAATTGTTGTGCCTTTTAATTTCAAACTGTCTTCAATTTGACGGTATAGTATCGGAAACGATTGAGAGATAAAATTATAAATGCACACTTTAATATTATTTTATAACATTATTTAAAAAAAAATCGCATTTAAAAATAAGACGTTTATGACGAAAGCCAAATAAAAACACTAAAAATAATTTAATAACAAATAAAAATGTTTGCGGAATATGTCCAAATTAGGTCTAAGTGTGTAGAGTTTCAAAAAGCTTTAGGGACGGAAACTATTATGAATTAAACAAATATATATACAAATTATTATTTAAGTATTTGTCAAAAAAAAAAGGCGAAGAATGGTGTTGTGCGGGAAATTCGTGTGTCTTTTCTGATATATGTTGGCACCATCACCTTAATAATTTAGTTTTGCATACTGATCTAAGAAGAAGTGGTGTGGTTTGTATAATACGTGATGAGCACGAGGGGGCGTAGTATTTTGAGCAATTGAAAAATATTTAATAATTTTTTTTTAATCTCTAAAAGAAAAATTTTGAAAAAAAAATTAGACATCGTCCATCACCGCCAATGAACGGATGAAATCCAATAGAGAGATATAAACTATCCATATCACCTTATGATGTTAATGTGGATTAAAAAGTAATTATATTTTGAGCAACCACACACAAAATATGTTGCGCTAAGAATATCCAAAGCTTTTTTCTATATTTTAAATATTTTCGAATATAAAAMTTTATGAAAACCTTTGATTTTATATACTACACTTTATCGTTGATGATTTTAGTAGTGGTGATACTCTCGTGTTTGTCCTTAAGCGGAGAGTAGGGTTTTTAAATTTTTTTGCTTAAATGAATGCATCAATTCACGATTTCAATGTCGGTGTCTTCCATATCTTCAAACTGCTGCACAGATCACTTTTAAATTTTGAGAACCGAGGGATTTTCAAATTAATTAATATTTTTAATAAAAAACGACCGTTTTTTTTTTTTCAGAATGAAAATTTGGAAAGGCCCCGCCGTTACCTGGTCAAAGTGATTATCTAATAATGCTCCAAAGTAACTGCTGCCTTTGTCGAATTTTTTAATATTTTTTTTTATAAAAATTTAACAGAGCATTCTTCAAATGTMACACATTGGTTTTTAAAAATAAATAAAAAATAAAAGTTACCTTGTTTTACACGAATTAAGCCTATTTCCACTTTAACTGCAATATATTCTCAGCTCAGGCATGATTCGATTATATTAGGACAATTTGTCAACAGTGTATCAATAATAATATGTGAATCAGCCGTTTTGTTTTGTTTTTATGAAGCCAATGAAAATGTATTTTTTGAGGAAGAACTTAATAAGAATAGTTTGTAAATCACACAAAATCATTAAAATACATATAAACAAGAAATTCATGAGGTTTATTTGAAATTATGGATTGAAAAATATTTTCATAAAAAGGAAAACGCTAACAAGTCACACCACCTTATATAACTGAATCATGACTTAAGATATCGCACAATGATTTTAATATCAGGGCRTTTATGTTTTCAATAATTTTATTTWAAAAAAATCGAAATGAAAATTGTAATAAACAACGAAACAGCAAATAAATTTGTATAATAATAAACAAAACAGAATAAGCTTTAACATTGAATACATTTAATTGAAATTTCGTAGTCACAGCAAATTGTTAATGAATAATTAGGTAATATGCTGCCCTAAAACAAATCGTTAATATTTGAAGAAAATTCCTTCGATGAAACAAAGAATGCTTAAATTTATATTAAATAAAAATTAGTCAATGCTTTCTCATTTTTAAAAATGTATTCATGTAATGAAACTAGCAGTTAAGTAAAAATAATAACAGTTTTTTTTTTTGTTAAAAAATTATAAATATTGTATATAAATTGATTTTTTTTTCACATATCTTATGTATGTATAAATATGTATTTATGTACGAGTATGTAAATTACTTTTTAGTTTTGACTATAAATATTTATTCGGCTAGCGTTTTAACACATTAATTAGTTGCACCTTTTTTGTGAAGCAATATTAGTGTTCGAATATAAATGATCGAATTCCGAACTGTCTGTATGTTCTACAATTTGTAGTTGTTCATTCGTATTATGCATAATATGCTCAAATGCGAGGTTAGATCGTCTGCCAACCCCTTCGTTATTTAAATGGGTTGTCACATGTAAATTGCCAATATTTGGTAATTGCTGTTGCGACAATTCCCCATCAATTTTGTCTTTTTCGGTTACTAAATTGTTGTAATTTTGATATTTACTATTCGACATTACTTGGTAACCATCTTCGGTTAGCGTTACAGCTGTCTCCTCATTCGGCGTTATGGTATGCCCACTAGTCGTCTTAACCGTGAAAACCAACGGATCACTCGATGTTGAGGACAATGGATTGGAACGTGCCCGTTCCTGTAATGGTGCTGATGGTGTTGAGGATATACCATGCCGTCTACGTATAGAATCCACTACATCAAATAGGTTCTTTGCATCCATAGCTAGGACATGCGCGGATGACAACATATTTCTAAAAGCAAAAAAACAAAGGTAGAAACTACAAAACAAAACGTCAAGAACACGCTTTTATTACCGTCTGTATTCACTATCGAGCGTTGTGTCACTGTATTGCTGTGCTAAGCGCATTGTTGCCACCAAATCCTGCATATCCTTTGACAACACTTTGTGTGCCATTTCAACCTCTCTAAAATTGCAGAGATTTGCTTTAGAAAGTGATAATTATTCATGGGTGATGATGTAAGTTTACCTAAGCGCTTGCGTGGGAAAAACCCTGGACAGTCGATCCACGGATGCCAGCAATGCACGTAATTCAATTCCAACATTTCGTACTAAATACAAATAGTTATTGGCATTTGATTTTTCCACATCTTGCGAAAGTGTCATTATCGCCTTAACCACATTTTTAGTGGCACTATACACTTCGTCATTGCTGCGATCAATCGTCAGGGTTGGCTTATTGCCACTACTATTAACGGTTTGTTTGGCAGTTGCTACATCATTATTTGGCCTTGAATCACTTGGTGTATCAATAAAATTACTACTTGACGAGTTCTCTATTGAGGATGTACTATTCTTTAAGGTGTCAAGTTTGCAGTCGGGGGTGTGCGGGCGTGAAGCTCCTAAGGAATTACTAATACTTGGTGAACATTCGGGTAAACTTGATGGTCCATGATGGGAATTGAAATAGCCCATGGCATTTATGTCCGAATTAGACGTTGCAAGGCTCAGACGCTTCCTCTAAATGTTGGGAAGTTTTAAAATAAAGCAATAAAATATAYGTAATATATAATTTTGTAGTGAGGATTGTCGAACATTAAGTTGTGTATATACGATAATATTATTAAAAGTAAAAAAAATTAAAATTCGATTTTTTTTTTGAAAAAAAAAAAAAAACAAATCGAAAAATTCACAATATACATACATATATATAGAATACATGAATTTCAAGTACAAAAAAAATTGATTTTTTCTACAACAGAAATGGAACATTTTAAAACTTTTTTTTTTGTAATGCTAAACATTAAAAAAAAAACAATAAAAAACAACTGTAAGCATAATAAAATCGTGGTAATACAACAAAAAACCAACTGCTTCAAAGTAAGGGTGTGAATGTTGAATATAAATATGTATTTACATACATACTGCGTGTTACTTCCAGACTAGAAAACTGAAAACTCAAATGAAACCATTACAAATTCTTTAAAATCATAAAATAAAAGAAAATTTAAATCAAAACTGTAACAAATTGCATTTAGTAGGGCAAGCTCAAACCTGTGCACCAAGTGGACACTCAGCAATATGCACGCCATCCTGACTTGTACCTGCCGATTTTGCGCTTGGCTGCACTAAATGTATGTTATCTGTATAATTGGAAGCTTCTAACTCGCAATTTTCATTAATTGGATAAGGATATTGTTGCATGGTATGCATATTAAAGTCCTTTGCTATGCCATAGCTAGTTGTAAAAGATTTCCCGCCTGGTGCCATTGGCGTATATGTTGAGTTAGGTGAAACTTTTGGATCGAATGGCTCGACAACGGCTTGAGATTTGCAATTACCACTTAAATCGCGTTGTGATTGCATGCGTGGAATTATGTCAGCTGTRCGATTACGATTTAGGGAGCTTGTAGCACACGATTTTACATTACTACCACCAAAATCGTAAATTTCTTCTTGTAATGGTTCCGCTTCCATTGAACTTTTCATTTGATTGCGATATGTACGATAAGAAATATTACGTTCTAAGCTATTTGATAAATTTGTTTTTGTTGTTTGATTGCCGGCATATGCGTCTAATGTTGTTGCTCTTTCTAAACTACTACTACGATGTACCCAATCACGCATGAAGTTATTGGAAATAGAAATCGATTGATTGCGCTCCAAACTACCACCTTTTGATGGCATCGGCTTAACCGCACCAATTATGTATGTATCATGATTACGCTCTAAACTGCCATAAGAATGTGGATTGCATCTACGCAATAAGTCGGATTTAGTAATCTTGGGATCCACTGGCATACGTTGGAAATCATAAATATTTGCTTGTGGATTATATAAAACAAAATTATTTTGCATTTTCTGACAAGGCAAATTAGTTGGAATTGTGCAAAAATTATTTTGAACTTCTGCACGTGAGTTTTTCAAGTACACCGTAGTGCTAGGATCTACAGCCTTACCAGCATTTAGATAGACGCAATTCGTGGAGTGCTTAGTTTTATCTAGACAACTACAATGTAAGGGCAAAGACAGGGGTKGTGTTTCATTAGCAATTGTTGTGGACTTAAGYGAAGCAGTTTGTTTTTGTGTGCCACCTAAACGTGTTAATGTCGAAACATTTTGCTCATCCGCTATGGGATCCAATTTAAACAATTCAGATGCTGGTAATTTGGTCATTTTCAATGGTACATCTGAACTATTTGGGACTTTTGTTGTTTTGGTTTCATCAATTTCTACAGCTAATGTATTAAATACCGATGCTGGTGTTGTATAAGCTGCTGGATTAATGCTGCGATTCTCGTTTTCCATCATTAATCTGGCCAAGACTTCGGGATTTTGTGCTATAATGTATGTTTGTGGGCTTAATGGATTCTTTTCGCTGACTATGGATGACTGCAGCGCGGAATCTGTGTACGTGAAAAAAACAGCGATCAGTTAGATTTTAAATTCATATAAATATACATTACAAATTTTTGTATACGAAAAAAATTATAAAAAAAATTATTACCTCCTTCGAAGGGTGTTCTAGTCGGTTTAACTGGTGGTACTTCGCCTTCACAACCACTCCATGACATGGCCGCCACACGTCTGTTCTCACGCCTCATTGTTTCCGAATCGCTAATTTTCTCATCCACTAAAATTTCACTGCGAACAAAATGTGAACATTATTATTAAAATTTATTCGAAAAAAAAAACAGATTCAGTGAACACGAATCAATTATATTTGTGTTCTAACATGAYTAACTGTTATCTGCATAGATACAAATGTAGGTTTAAGTACTGAAACTTACTAAAGGGTTTCCTTTATACGCTGGAACGTGGGTCGTTTGGATGGCTCATGAGCCCAACATTGTGACATGAGTGAGTACAAGCGTGGTGGACAATCTTTTGGCAGCGGCAAGCGTTCACCGTTTTCCAATTTCGTTATAACGTCACTGTTTTTGATACCTTGAAACGGCTTTACTCCCAACATCAGTATTTCCCAAGCGCAAACGCCTAAAAAAGACAAACAACCAAATAGTACATATAAATTGCTACATATTTTTAAATCTTTTTCACAAATACCAAACATCCAGACATCACTAGCGTTAGTGAATCTTCGAAAATTGATCGACTCGGGCGCCATCCACTTAATGGGCAATATACACATGCTTGAATGATAATACGATTGATCCGACACCCAACGTGAGAGACCGAAATCAGCAAGCTATGATGAAAAGGTTGTAAAATTAATTCAATTCACATTAAAAAAGGAAAATTAATAACAAACAAACAGAAATTATTTTTATTTTATTTTCGCTTAACATACATATCTAAATTCAAAAAAGTAAAATTTTACCTTTATACAAGTTGGCGAACTGACTAACACATTTCGTGCCGCAATATCTCTATGTACGAACTTCTTAGATTCCAAATAGCTTAGGGCTGTCGACAACTGGTAGCAGTAGAGGAGCAGCGTACCACGCTTAAGTCTAAAATTACAAAGAAACAGATAAAGTTAAAGTAAAAAATAAATCATGCGCTGTTTTCCCGACGGTGATGTCTATTTTTATATTGAGCTCAGCGACGGTTGGGATCGTTATTGCCGTTGGCCGAATAAAAAATGGAAACAAAAGGAACTACCGCCTCCGACAATAATCAATTATTGGCGCGATCTTGAAGGCGCAAAAAAAGAACACATTTTATTGGCGGATTTGTATTTCGAGAATTGGTTAAAATCGCGTTTAAACGAAGACGCATGTTTGCCATTGTTATATGCTGTTGGCAATCGTTTCATTAAATTGGAAAAAGATTTCCCAGCCGGTTTCAGATGTGCACCATTGCCAATGAGTCTTAAGGAATATAGAGAAATGCAAGCCATAATAAAAGGTAGGCATTTGCGTTTATTGTAACTCTTATGCAATAACAATTGGAAGGGTAAGCTTTTTGTTTTGCCTTTGCAATTGAAAGTAACAATTTGAGAATATTATTTGTGTCAAAGCTTTTGATAACTTTGGTATATAAAATTGTATACTTTCAGAGGAACAGAAACAGAAAAAGAAGGCGGAGAAAGAAAAGAAAGCCAAGGCAAAAGCAGCGACAACAAAGAAAGGCAAAAAATAGACAAACAGCTTAGAAATTTCAAAAATTACAAAATTATTGCTATAATTTAAATGTATGACATTAAATGAAAAATTAACAAATAAAAGCAAAAAGATATTGAAAAAACATTTTTTAAATATGTTTGAATAAAATTGTTAACTTGCAAGTACGAATTTGTTGCATTATTATCAAAATATGTATTTTATAAAAAACCAAGTTTTTTTTTTTGTTTAATATTTAGGTTATGTTCGAAATCATACATACTTCTTACTGTTGGCTTTTAAATACGCTCTAAGTTCCCCGTGACGTGCTAATTCCATAACAATCCAAATCGGCGACTCACTGCATATACCAATTAAACGAATTATATGTGGATGATCGAATTTTTGCATAATATCTGGAAGATAAAGGTTTGTTGAGTTTTGTTTAAGCTTATTACTGTAATAATGTCTAACATACATGCTTCTTCTAAAAATTGCTCCATTTTTTGAGGGTCATCACTTGCTTTGCAGGTTTTCACTGCAACTTGAATTACCGAAGATTTCATTTCCATAGTATTCAATGCATTCGATTTGGTATTTTTCTTAGCCTTCGGAAAATATGTGCCTATATGAACATCACCGAATTGGCCCACGCCTATTTTTTCATTCAGATTTATTTGAGATCTTTCTAATTCATAATTTCGAGCTAAATTTTCGTATAATAAAAAAAGAATAGCTCAAACAAAGTATTGAAAACATATATAAACAAATAACTAACCAGTAGGCGTAGAATAGTCGCCCTCATCATCGATTAAACCGATTTCAGCATAATCTTCGGTTAAGGTAGGCTTTGGTTTTGTGCTGGTTTGAATTGTTGCACCACCACCATCAGTTTGATCCCCCTCATTTTGCTTTTCCTTGTCTAAGCCGTTGTTTTGATAGCCCTTTGAATCTGCGGCTGATGCATTCAAGCCATTATTTATACTATTTAAAGTATTTACATCGTTACGTTCCCATTTGGAAACATAACCACTGCCTTGAATTAAGCAACAATATCCATCAATAAGATCAGCAATGCTTTCAGCCGTCTGAAAGAACGTGTAAAAATAAAATTAGGAAATTGTTATATTTCTTTTAATTAAAACGTATAAATTACATTTATGCCATCACAGGTGATTACTAAGTCTTCATCATTGCTCCTTGTCGTTATTCTCAATTGAGTTTTGACCTCCCAGCATTTACAAGGATTATATTTATCATCTGTAGAGGCCGAGTTAGCAATTGGCTTTTTAGATTGGTTATTTACACTATCCCTGGGTATAGTAAGGGTTACAATTTTGATAATGTCTTTGAAGGTTGCGACACTTGTCAGGTCTGCTTGTGGATGTGTTTGATAGGAAATGCCTGAAAAATCAACATATAAATATTTACATAGTGGAAATGCTAGTTAGTTGTCAGGCATACCGATTTGTGAACCGATGTACAAGAAGCCGGATATATTCCATGCTGAACTTAATGTTACTGAAAATTTTTCATTTCCATTAATTTTACATGTTTGGAGAAGATCGAAAAACCTGCAAAAATTTGCATTAATGATATGACTGTAATAATCAKAAATATACAATCAAAGTGCATCAAATAAAATGATTGAAAAAGAACTTGATTTCTATCGTATGGTATAAATATAAAAAAGATTAATGTATAGCATATGTAAAGCTTACTTGGTTATATATTCAATGTCCGTTAAATTATACACCTTCTTATATCCAGCTTGAATTAACTTTTTCAAATTCTTTGGCTTTACTGAACTTATCACAGATTTTGGAAGAAAAGAATTTAAACCGATTTCCTTCTCAACATAATCAATATGGTGCTTTTTATCTGGCGCTTTGATTACCGTATTCTTAAGATAATGTCGGATACCTAAACAGCACAACTGTATCGCCGTATCGACATCGATTGTTGGATCAGACAAAACATAATCTTGTTTAGCCTAAATTAAAAATGAAATCAAATTTAACGCTGAAAATTATTTAAAATACATATGTATATTAATCTTACCTGATCAAAATAATATAAACAGCTGGTTTTGTCTTGCTCATAAAACTCCGCCAAACTATTTGGAATGTAACGTATCCGCAGCTCAGCCCGCCAAACACTATTGACCGAACTTCTGTTGCTACTTTTGATACTTGTATTATCATAGTTAGAACATTCGAAATTCGGGCAGATCGGGTACCAAATATATTTCATAACCTGATTCATGCCTGTTGATCTCGTCATCCATAATATTTCTTTAGTTACTACATTATTCAGACGTAGTGCATAGAAATGTGGATTCGGCATATGACCCGGTACCAAGCTACGTACAGCACGCTCAATAACATGAAGCACAGTGTCATTTGCCTCGTTAACATTAATTGGCCGCATACCCTTGTTAGGCATGTGTAAATGCAAAACAAATTCATCAATTTGTCCTAAACAAATGGAAATAGTAAAAGATTAAAGCTAATAATGAGGGAATTGTATTTATTTATTTACCTTCATTTTGTGGCATTGACGCTAGTTGAGTCCCAAAACAGATAGTAGCTTGTAATTTCGACATTAGAGTATAATAGTAGTTACGTTTCCTCGTTTGATGTTTTCAAAGCAATCTAATACAACATGTGTCCATTCTAAAATATTAAAAAATGTAATTTGCTATATAGTACATATAACACTACAAATTATAAACGTATTTATAGTATATGATTTATTAACATAATAATAATTATAAAAAAAAAATTAACTAAATAAAAAACTCTGAAGAATTTAAAAAAACCCCCAAAGATTTATAGTTCATAGAAGACTCCCTGACTGGGAATAGCAGTACTGGAATATTTGTAAACATGCCGGCTTTCCTTTTATCAATCTATTTGGCAAAGTAGAATGGAGCATTTTATAATAATCACTTTCTTTTATTGTCAGTATATACATTTTTACTTTCTAATAAAGTTCTATCAACGAATCACAATGAAGCATTTGCTTTTAGTTCAATTCTTGACACCTTCTACATTCACAACGATGGTATCCAATAACACCCACCAGAAACAAGATATTGAAATGAATGTGAACACTTTTAATTTATGCCGATGAATTTGGCATTTATGCATACTTCACACGAAATTTCAACATAGCAAAGCATAACCCTAATTCCATAAACTAGATACAAAAACAAAATTTAAGGTGCTTGCACCCATTCCACATATGTACATATCGAATTGTGTGYGGAAAAGACAACGATGGTGCTTGCAATTCACGCCTACATATATTTAAAACTGAATTTATATTTTTAATATGCGCTTCTGTATTCACAAGCATGTAGTGACGAATATCCATAACTTTTTAATCACAGTTCTTCATAAAAACACTTGTACATTATGATTTTTTGCAGTTCTACCATAAGTAAGGTGTTGTCAATCTTACATATATATGAACGTCGGATTTCCTCTTCGATTTCACCAGCTTATATAGAGTTTCCAGACTAAATGCCGCATTATATGAATTGTTTATTAATATTGTCACTCAAACACTGTCCGGCACAATATTAAGGAATAATAAAACTTTTTATAAGTAAAATTACAACTTTTATGCTTTAACTCAATACATTTGTTACCAAACAGATTGATTAAATCTAATGCTGCCATATGGCAAGATTTATATGTTTTTTAACATACACCGCAAAGTTTCAAAACAGCACAGGGTGATTGTTGTGTACAAGTATATTTGTATAAATTGCAATTGTTAGCATAAAATGTATACACTGCTTTAACGACCAAAGGAAATGACGTCCCCTGAACTGTAATTCTGCTTCTGACAGATACTTCATCTCCATCTTTCTTTTTTCTTCTACTACCATGGCGGTAGGTGTTTGGAAATTTTTCTGCTACATATTATCCGTGTTCATCAATATTTTAAATACATTTGGGACATGTAAAACTTGTGATTTTCCCACCTATTTAGTGCTTTATATCGTTTGAATACATATTTCTGAAATATATTTATRAATCACAAATTTAATTTATGTTTCTTTTTACATGTACAATTCTGGATTGAAGGACGTTAAGAAAATCAAACGCGACCCCGCTAAGAACCCTATGCGGGATCTCCACATCAGGAAACTCTGCTTAAATATCTGCGTTGGYGAATCTGGTGACAGACTTACTCGTGCTGCCAAGGTAAATTCTTAACTTGCCTTATTATTATAGTAATTTTAACAAACAAATCTTAATTTCTTTTCTAGGTGTTGGAACAATTAACAGGACAACAACCAGTCTTCTCCAAAGCCAGATATACCGTACGTTCTTTTGGCATTCGTCGTAATGAAAAGATCGCCGTACACTGCACAGTTCGCGGTGCTAAAGCCGAAGAAATTTTGGAACGCGGCTTGAAAGTGCGTGAATACGAATTGAGACGCGATAACTTCTCTGCTACCGGTAACTTTGGATTTGGTATTCAAGAACATATCGATTTGGGTATCAAATACGACCCCTCTATTGGTATTTATGGTTTGGACTTCTACGTCGTACTGGGCCGTCCAGGTGAGTAAAATGCGCGAGTGTGTATTTGTGTTGCACTTAATTAGGTGTCTGTTGGTCTTCTCGCCTCTGGCACTCAGTAATGTGCATAAATAAATAATGTGATCTATGCTTAATGTGACTGACAAATAATAGTTTAGTTGCACGGTATAGTACGTACATTAAACTAAATACGAAATGGTCRATTTTCCATAGTCGGATTGTTTTGTTTATGTTGCAGTTTTTGTAATTGAAATAGTTGTAGGATAACTCATAATATATATTTAGAACTTGTAATTTTAATACAGGTTATAAATAATTGTACTCATTTTATTTTCCAGGTTACAATGTTGCACACAGAAAACGCAAGTCTGGCACAGTTGGTTTCCCACACCGTCTCACAAAAGAGGATGCCATGAAATGGTTCCAACAGAAATATGACGGTATTATTCTTAATAGTAAAAAGTAAATAATGCCCATGTTGTCATTAGTTGGGGAAATATAATATTTTTTAAAACAAATTTGTTTATTTTTTACTCTGTAAAAGCAAACCAACAACAAGATAAGTATGTATTGCAACATTCCATAAAAGCTATCAGTCAAAGTTTTTTTTATTAAAAGTAAAACTCAAAATTGGCAAACTGATATTTGCAAATAAGTGCTCCTAAACAATAGCAAACAAATCAATAAATTAATTTTAGTTTGGCAAACTGATATTTGCAAATAAGTGCTCCTAAACAATAGCAAACAAATCAATAAATTAATTTTAGTCAAAAATCATATAATTTTGTGGCAAGATTATAGTTGGATTGTTCGAAAAATTACATGTTTGTATCTACATACGTATATCTATTTAAGTACACGGCTTATTTGAATTATAAATACTATAAAACAATAATTCGTAGATATTATAATGGTTAAAAATTATCGAGTAYTTTATGTAGGTAAAAATCACCGGGGATATATTAAAGAAGAGAGGAAGGATAGGCATTAGGTTGAAATAAAATTTTCAAAACGGCGGCAATGCCCATAGTGTTGATGTCTTATCAGCTGATGTCGAAAGGAAGGAGAAATCAGTCGGATGCCAACGTGCTGATATAGCTTTGTCGCTGTGTTGCGCGACTAACACAGATGGTAGGGGCAGGGTTAAATCGCCTTGCAAATCGGTAAGAACAATATTGTTGTCATATCCACATGTGAGCAAATAATAGGCCGATGGTGAAAAACGTATAGATCTATTACAAATAGTAAGTAGTTGATTGATTAACAGTTGTTATGTACACCAACATGTGATACACTCTTATAACCTACCTTATATCTGCGGTATGTGGCTGGAAACATTGTATAGGCCGGTTTCCTCGTATGTCAAAAAGCACACATGCACTATCCTCATGTCCAGAGACCAATAAACGACCAGAAGGGTCAACACATACTGAAGCGACAGGTGAACCAAATGTTGACCCTTGCAGTGTCATTGGAGCGACTGTATTAACACATTCGTTAGAACGCAAGTCCCAAAACCGAATTGTTTTATCCTAAAAATGTAAACATCTGTTTTAGAAACAGTTTTTAATATCTTAAATAGTGTCCTAAATTTAAGTAAACTAATACTTTTATTTTCGACACCACTGTAAGTGTGAAAGCTATTAGTATTTTCGAATTAAACATATCAATTTATATAACAGCTGTATGTTAAACAAATACCTGGGATCCCGAAACAAACATAACACCACCCCAATTGTACAATGATAGAATATGTCCATTGTGACCACCGAGTGTCTGATAGGGTGTCGCGGTTGCACAATCGGTAACATAAATTTTGCAATCGCCAGCTCCACCACTTATAAGCAGTCGCGATTTATTTATGGTATCTTCCACGAAACATAGATCCCTAACGGTACCATCATGCATAGTTAAGTCGATTTCACGGCCTTCTAGTTGTGTTTCATCGTTATTGAAATGCATAAGCTTAACGGTCTTATCATTTGAACCTGTCGCTATCAATACGCCATCCGCCGACCAAGCTGTGCAATAAATTGAGCCTTTATGATGTTTTGTGCGTTTAAATAATACAGTAGGTTGTTGAACTTCATGAAATTTTCTGAAATAAGAAGTTGCATTTAATTCTTTTTGTATTTGTAATTTGAAGATTGTAAATCCAAAACAAATGCTCACTTTAATTCAGATAATTGCGGATATTTGCAAATTCGAAATGTTTTCGAATTTGAACCGACAACATATAATTTTCCATTCGGATGGAATTCGGCACAGCGAACAGCCTGGACATCTGTTAATGTGGTGACAGGTAAAAATCTTGGTCGTTTTGGTTCGATCTGCATTTAGTAAATATGTAGATGCATAGTAATGTAATCAGTTTCAACTTATCATTAATTTAAAAACTTAAAAAAACTTCATTGATAATATCAATAGTTACAACTGATTTAACTTTCTCAAAATAGCAGTAAATTCTATATATAAACACACTTTACGCTTGTTTTTGTAAGCACACATACAATAAAGAACACAAGAGTGTATACATATATATATTTCATTTCCATGCACACTAACGCATATTAATAGACCTAAACTGTATATTAGAAACAATGCTAGAAATTTACAGCAAAGCTATCTACTTGAGAATGCAGTTAGGAATTGCAGATATTTTTTTCCTTGTAAAATCCCAATGAATACTCACTTCGTTAACTGTTTTCGTTTTTCCCGAAATCATTTGCAAGAATTAAATATAATTCACTAAAAAAAACCTATTTATTGCTGACACAATTTGTTTTCACTCCTAAACTTCGATTATGACGTACTAAACTAAAAGTGTATTACCCAAGTCAAATCTAGATTGGAGAAACTTTGTGGCAGTTGAACCATGCTCTATTGTTGTTGTATGAGAAAGTATCTTTCACCTGACTGTAACTTGTAACTTAGCACACTCTGTAAATAAGCCGCTAGTTAGTAATAAAAGGTCAATTCATGTTTGGTCAAGTACGATCGTTCTGTGGTTTTATTGTTTATGAAATTATTTGTTATTATTTATAAATACTGAGATATTCCTAAATACAAATATTTAGATGAAATGGTTGTCGTAAACAGAAAAGATCTAAGAGGAAAAATAACAGGAAATATATGTATTTGAATATATTCCGCAAATATATAAACAAATAAAAAAAAATTAATTTGTTGTTGATAAATGATAAACAAGTATATTCTAATCAGGTTATTTATTTTAATTATAGAAAAGCATAAAAACACTTATTATCTTAGGCACCAAATCAGATATCCTTACACTAATGTCTTTCATTTCTTTAGTACCAKAAAATATCATTTAAAAATAATAATATTAAATAATAAATATAATTGAAAATTTTAAACATTTAWTAATCATAATAAATTTAACGATACAGAATAACATAATTGGTTTATTTAAAGGTTAAATGTTTCCAATATTAAACACTCTGATACAYTCTGTATTGCTTTTCATTTCTTATTGTATAATCAGACATTACTATTTCTGTAATACAAAATGTTTAGGTTAAAAATACCTCGAACGCAATTTAATTTTGGTTTTAAAATTTGCAGAAATTATTTATCCCATGAATACAAAAATACGTTAGTTGACTTTAACGTGCATGCACTAGAAACAAGCAATGCTCAGACGAAAGGCCATACGGCGCAAGGTGTMATATTGGTTGACATAGTGAATGGTATTGCACATGATAATAGAGACAACGGATTCAGTGAGTCTTTGTTAAAATTACGTTCAGTACCCGATAAAGCAGCACAGTTCGACGCTACGAATTATGCCATATTCAGGAATTTCCTTGATCATGAGAACATAGATGAATTATTATCCTTAATAAAGAATCGTTTGCAAAGCGGTATATTCATTGACAACTTCTTAGGTTGTTACATTTTAAATCAGCTTTTGCAAGAGAATAATTTTATTGGTGCTACCGAGGTCAGCTTGGAAATATTTAAACAGGATTCCTTAGACAATAAATTAGTTAGTGGCTTRATTTTGAAATCTATTTTTGAATACTTGAAATTAAATATTGACCAAATTATTCCACCAGTTGTTAAGGAAAAGAAATCTTCGAAAAAATCTGATGAGGTAAGTAATGCATAATAAATGCCAGCAATGCAATGAAATTAATTTACAACTATTAAATCATTTTAGAAAAAAATACGTGTAAAGTTCATTCGAAACGAAAGTACTAATCAGCAAGCAGAAGAAATCGGGAAAGCGCTTTGTAGAATATCAGAATTATACCCAGACGAACTTACCGAAAACCTAAAATTATTAGGGGCTTTATTGGACAATAGAAATAATTTAGCAACTTCACTTGTAAATAACAAGGAAATCGTCTTCTGCAAGCAAACATTAGAACTCTGCAAATCATTGCTGAAGAATAAGGAAGTTGTTGATGAGAACTTAACAAATGGCATAAATCTTCGTTTGGAAGGAGCTGTTGATACCAAAAATATAGATGCTTTGTTGTCAGTATTTTTAGAAGCTGGTAAAAAAGATGAAACCAAACTCATAGAACAACAAAAAGCGAAATATGAGTTATGGAAAGAACAAGATATTCTAGAAAAGAGCAAACAAATTAATATTACACCGCCTAGTGAACGAAAAGAGAATATTGAACAGATACTAGCTGATATAAATCAAAAGAGACAAAAGCTTTGGTATTTTGAAAATGAAGAATTAATCGATTTAGAGATATTTAAGAAGAATAAAAGTTATCCCAAAAGATGGTTTGGAAAGAAAAAGAAGCCAAAGGTAGTTGATGACAATTATGTTCCACCAGAAATAACTAGAAAAAGCTAATGAACATAGCTGATGTTTTTAATTCACTGTGTAAATTTAAAAATAAATACTATGTTAAATAATTACAAAAAAAAAAAATTGATTTTAATTAAACTCTCTGTGGGATATATGACATATGATCACAAAAGGTCGTAAGGTAGAATTAAAAGTTATGCTGAAACGAATATTTCATTGGGTCATTTATAAATTTGCGTCCTACTGGGTTCCTTTTTTTTGTTGATCAATTTGGCAGCACTTAAAAGCGGTAATCGTTAAAATATTTCCAATTGGGATTACAAATATGTAGATGAGTACATATATCAAAACCATAATACTTTTTACTAACTCTAAATAATATTGTTTAATTAAAATATAACAAATTTTCAGTGCTGCCAATAAGAAACTAAACATAAACCTAATCGGTGGTAGTTATTTAAATAATTGTTTAATTAATTAACCACCCGAGTGGAATTATGCACAAAATCCAAACCGACTTTCTTAGGGGAAATTCACACCTTACAATTTTTATTAAAATTTAGACCTCTCCATTATATTATGAATATGATAAAGTTTAGTTGATGTATTGCAATTAATTATTGTGTTAAATACTATTTATTTAATGTTATAGGTTTCGGGAAAAACTAAAACTAATTGGAATGTAAAGTGTTATATCAAAGCAATCCAGCATATCCATTTAAGAAAAATACATCCGTGAAGAAGTGGAAAAAGTGCGCTATAAATATTACGCACATTATTTAACATTTTGTCGCTGATTTAATATTTATGAAAATAAGATTTTGGCAACTCTGTGCGGTAGCGTCGGCCAATTCAAGACGTATTGGGCGTTGTCTACTAGGTAAAAAGGGCGGTTGAAGCGCTAGCTGTTTTTAGAAAGTAACCATAGCTTGCAGTAATCAGTTGTTCAAACAGCAACTTTGGGAATTTGCGAAAGTTATATTTGTATTTAAGTTGAAAGTGTATTAAATTTTATTGTACAAAATGAGAGAAATCGTTCACATTCAAGCTGGTCAGTGCGGTAACCAGATTGGAGCTAAGGTAAGTTATTAAATAAGTGTAAATAATCAACATTAAGTTAAAAGCAACTATGTAAGTTAAACAATTGTAATAAATTTGAATAAAATCGATTGATTACACGTAGTWGTGCACAAGTATATGTATGTAAATACTATATAAGTAGAGAAATCAATATTTTTCGGGTCACTTATAGCTAATTGGACAATTTCGGTATAGATACAACTTYATATACGATATGAAAAGGGATTGTAAAGAGATTTTGATGTAGATCTAAAACAAACCGGCCAGGTGTTCATTTGTCGAGCACAATGTACAGTTTTGCAGAGGAAATTTTGCTGAATACGGATGCCGCAATGTATCTACCAATAGCTGTCGCTTATGCTATGCACATATGAACATATTTATATCCGGCGTTTTGCGAAACTACCAGCACATTTCGATATATGAGATGTGACATGAAAGTTTCACAGCTCGAATTCCTTTAGAAAATCTTTGAAATAGTAATGAAAAGGCGATATTCACATAATTTGAAGCTAGTTCGTTTCACCGAATGAGTTCGTGGTCATTAAAGTGACGTCGACATTTTGTGCAAGTTTTGTATATATGTACATAAGTGGTTAGAGAGGTTAGAACGAAGAGTTCGCGTTAGCTTTTATGCGTGTATATGTAMATATTATATACTTGCATAGGATAAATGTGTATATACAATTTTCGCCGGTATGAATCACATAAAATTTTATGTACTCGATARAGAAAAACTAGTTGGAGAAGTTAGGGTTTCTTTGATATAAATACTTTTTCAATTATATATGCATTTAAGAGATGATTAAAAAGGTTGGTTGTTTATTTTCCTTGTATGATATGACTGAAGTAACAGCTGTCGCTTAACAAACAAAAGGCGAGTCAAATTGATTAATTAGAACACCCCCATAATTTTTTTTGTGTTGAAACTATTTAACCTCCCACACCTTGAAAATTGTCTTCAAAATGACGTAAGCTTGAAAATAGTTTTAGTGTTCATACTTTAAGTTAAGATTTGGTGACGTAAGTGTTTTGCCGCAATCAGTTTATACCTTATATGAAACTATGCCAACATGCATACCGCATATACATACCTAGGTGGGCACATATGTACGGTACGCATTTGTGTACATAAATGTGAACAACAGTAGTCTGAAGATTTTTGCCCACGTATCGCCTTGGCTTATGATTTGCGATGACTTCATCACTTAAAAAATGCTAAACATGGTTGTGGGTAAACAAGTTCTACCGCTATATGTATAAAAGTAAGCGATAAATGGTAATAGTGAAATAATTTGTATTATGCACGTATATACCAAACGTACATGCATATATTTACACAAATCAATACTCTTATACATGCAAAYCTAGCAGCGAGTCATACATATTTACATACATGTATGTCAAATCAAGATAGATGAGAAAGTTTAGTATACTACATTTGAAGCTATAATTAAGAAATTATTTATACTGCAAATATGCTAATAAACATAATATATTTCTTTTTTTTTTTAATTTAATTTTAGTTCTGGGAAATTATCTCGGACGAACATGGAATTGATGCTACTGGTGCCTATCATGGTGATAGTGATTTGCAATTAGAACGCATCAACGTATATTATAATGAGGCGTCGGGTGGAAAATATGTGCCACGCGCAGTCCTTGTTGATTTGGAACCTGGCACTATGGATTCAGTGCGTTCAGGACCTTTCGGACAAATTTTCCGTCCAGATAACTTTGTCTTCGGACAATCTGGTGCCGGTAACAATTGGGCGAAGGGCCATTACACAGAAGGTGCTGAATTGGTCGACTCTGTGCTCGATGTTGTCCGCAAAGAGGCTGAATCCTGCGACTGCCTACAAGGATTCCAACTGACACATTCCTTGGGTGGTGGCACTGGTTCTGGTATGGGAACCTTACTCATCTCGAAAATCCGTGAAGAATACCCCGACAGAATAATGAACACATACTCAGTTGTACCCTCACCTAAAGTATCAGACACAGTTGTTGAACCTTACAACGCGACACTCTCCGTGCATCAATTGGTTGAAAATACAGATGAAACCTATTGTATCGATAACGAAGCTTTGTATGATATTTGCTTCCGCACACTTAAATTGACCACCCCAACATATGGCGATTTGAACCATTTGGTCTCATTGACAATGTCTGGTGTAACCACCTGCCTTCGATTCCCTGGTCAACTGAACGCTGACTTACGCAAACTAGCAGTGAATATGGTTCCTTTCCCTCGATTACATTTCTTCATGCCTGGCTTTGCTCCTTTGACATCACGAGGATCTCAACAGTACCGTGCTCTCACCGTGCCAGAACTTACACAACAAATGTTCGATGCCAAGAACATGATGGCTGCCTGCGATCCACGACACGGACGTTATCTCACTGTTGCTGCTATCTTCCGTGGACGTATGTCCATGAAGGAAGTTGACGAACAAATGCTGAATATCCAAAACAAGAACAGCTCATACTTCGTCGAATGGATTCCCAATAATGTTAAGACTGCCGTTTGCGATATTCCACCAAGAGGTTTGAAAATGTCGGCTACATTTATTGGTAACTCGACAGCTATTCAGGAATTGTTCAAACGTATTTCGGAGCAGTTCACTGCTATGTTCCGTAGGAAAGCTTTCTTGCATTGGTACACAGGCGAAGGCATGGACGAGATGGAATTCACTGAGGCTGAAAGTAACATGAACGATTTGGTCTCCGAATACCAACAGTATCAAGAAGCCACCGCTGACGAAGATGCCGAATTCGAAGAAGAGCAAGAAGCTGAGGTCGATGAAAATTAAATTTTCACAAAATGAATGCTCAAACAGTCGATAGGAACGGCGAAATCGAATTGTATTTTTATTTAATTGAATAAAGTCAGTTGGCTTCAAAAGTTCGAAAAATGCAAAATAATTGTTTTATTTGTAGGAAAATTAGAGTTGGGAAAAAACTAGACTAGGGAAAATGTAGGTACATAAGAATAAAAAAAACAAGTATAGTAGAGAGAAAATTGAGTTTAGGTAAAAAACTGAACAAGTATGGTAGAGAGAAAATTTGGTTAATATACAAATATCTTCATGAGGGCCCTATGCTTATATGTATATTATAGAGTATTAAAGAACCGAAAAGGTTTAGTAGAGTTAAAAAATGTTTAATATACAATTGCATGCATGGCTGCCCTGTAATTAGGAGCCATAGGAACTTGGAGATACCGAYATATTTTTTGTTGCGAGCATTTTTCTTTCCATTGTTTCAATTTCAAATATATGTATGTTTACTGGGACAGTATTAAACTCAGGTGTGTACATTACACTAACCTATCCCAAGTAAGGAATCGCAGCTGATTAAAAGGAATGCGTAGGTTTTTAATTTTTGTTGTTCGTTAGCTCACAGCATCTACTATATGGATACATACAATAGGTACATGCCTATGTGCTTAAATAAATACAATATATGTATATACATATATGTAAGTTCTGTTAAATGCATATATACTACTATACATATATGCGTAAATATATAAATATCTCTTTTGATTTCGTAGTAAACAACAAATAMTTTTTCTAGAAACTTACGAATTCTCTCGAAACAGTAAAAACGCCTAAAAGTATGCATATTGTATTTCTGTGTATGTGTATTTTCAAACATGCTTTCAGGCGTTTAGCTGAAATCAGAATTCATAAGCACTAACAAATTGTAAATACATGTGTAATATCTTGAACAAAACCAAAATTCTTAACTGTGTGCATTCTACCCTTATAAAAAGGTTTGGCTTTGCCATAATCCGAAATTGTAGCTGGAAGAATGACTCATTTTGTCAATTGTTTATGTAGTTRCTATGGGAATTTTTACTACCTATTTATTGCTCAGGTACGCTATTCATGGCGGTGAACAAACGATAATAATATACATGTATGTATGTAATTATTAATATACACACTCGTACATAGGTACGATGGTTTCGCCAGAGTATATTTTTTTAGTTTTTAACTACATGGCAACGTGTCACCGGTCTTTAAGTAAAATTGATTGTTGGCAACATTGTTGTGGAGCGAATATGAATCTGTTGCATATTGCTTAAAACTGAATTCAAATTCCTTAGTGGTTAAGTTTTCAAGCCAAATTACTTTCAAATAACAATTACGGACAATTAACAAAAATTATTTCAATTCTTTTATTTAWACGTTATTTTGTATAGATGTTTTGCAATAGTAGTGAGATGATAGCTCAGCTAACCATTCTTCCTTAATCACCGTTATATTGCTCATAAAAATCTTTGTTGTATGAATGAGTTCAGTAAAAACAATATATTGCGGTTGTGGTAGTGTGTATAATGAAGAAAGTGGATGTATGTACAAGTCAAGGCCCTCCTGAATTCGCTTGTATACACCCGTATAATGCAAATATGCTGCATTGAGAAAAAAAGCCGAGGTAATACATTTGCAAATTGTCTCCACATTTCCATCGCATGATTTTAGCGGTAAATTTAGATGCTTTTTGGCTADTATGACCAGCTGCTGCCGCAATTCATATGCAGAGTTGAGATTGCGATAATTCAAATAGTATGTGCGACAAAATTGTTTGCTTTGATCGTTTTCTATAAATGCCGTAAATACATTTAACATTGTAATTAAGTCACCTTCAGCCACTTCGAAGTTACGTTTCGCAACGCGTGCCTTAATCTGCCCCTGACCGGTAGCTGGGTGAGCGAAAACGGTTTCCACTTGCAGCATAGCAATTATTGTCAAAATCTCTTCGGAGCAATTCATTGAACCGGACATATAAAGCATACGACTGAGCATTGGCGGTAATGGCATTTCGGCCATGAAATAACCCATTGGCTTAGTGAGATTTCCTTCATTATTAATGGCTTCTGCAAAAAGAGAAATTAAAGTGTTTATGTATATTATCAACACATACATACATATGTATAAACTGTTTAAAATGAGCATAAAATCTCTAAAAATTTGAAGCTCTAGCATTTCTTTTGTCTATTATGCAATATATAGTAATATAATTCTCAATATTTAGTAATATAAAAAGCTTTGCTTTAAAAAATTGATAAAATAATAAAACACTGATAAATAGCTTCGCCTCATTCCCCTCCTTTCATACAGCACTGCCTTACCAGCAATTTTTTTATTGATTCGCGAAATGAAATGCCGTTAAGCCAAATGTGAGAGCGCTCGAATGGAAGAATATATCACAGAATGAAAATTATTGTTATTATTATAATTTTAAACACTCTTTTATTATTATTATCTACATTCTGACGATATATGAAACGGTTTTCCATTAAATGGTTGATAAAAACTGTTATCAAATAGGTGCCTCATTCATCKCTTTTTATTTAGCACTGCTTTGCCAGCAATTTATCAGTGATACGCAAAATAAATGCCGTTAAACAAATGTGAGAGCGCTTGAAAGAAAGAGTACAATATAGGAAACGGAAAGTAGTTAAACATATGTATTTGTGGAAATGCAGATTTTTGAACAGATCAAAGAAATGAGAGATTTTTTATAATTCCTTGTAAATGCGCATTCGTTAGTGTCCCGTTAGGCGCGTAATATGACAGCTCGCGTCAAATATTTGCAGTGAGGAGATACTATCAAAGCGCAATTTGCAAATTTGGGCAAATTTTTTTCGATTTTAAATTAAAGTGGCTATTAGTTTAAATAAGTGTTTTTTGTTAATAAAGTTGTCGATAATTTCGTAAATATATGTATACAGTGAAATTCCCCATTACGGACAGTCCCCACACTCGGACATCTCCGATGACTGGACTAATTTCATGAAGAAAACATTTTCATTGTCGTACAAAAACCAATCGTATAACAGTACATCGGTCATGCGGTGCTTACTCATATTAATATAATATAAATGCGTGGCGCGAAATTGAATGTGAGTGATTAAATTATGCGTAAAAGTGATCAAATGTGAAAGGGGTTCATATTAATAGTATTTTTTAAAAATTGGATTGTGGAGTGAATGAAAAGCAGATGCTTAGTGTTTTTAAGTCACAATCATAGCAGACATGGAGATCTGACCGGTACTGGCGGTTATTATGTACAGAAATGAAGGTATATAAATTACTGTTGGAACAACAAAATTATTTCCTAACAAGCTATTATGTCGGTAAGTGCTTTAATTTAGAGTTAAATATTCGATTGCACTGTGGTTTAACAATTCGAAGTTGATGTAAAGAGACTTATGATCTGCACTTACCTAGAGCATGTAGTGTTTCTAAAGCAGCCAATACATTTTTGGCCGGCGGTGGCGAAGGAAAATTGAATTTCAAAATATTACTTATTCCTAGTGCTTTTATATTTAATATCATTGCACTCAATTCACATCGTCTTATTTCTGGTGGGAATCGATCGGGTAATTTTTCAAAATCTTCCTCCGTATAAAGACGATACACTTTTCCGGGGCGTGTGCGTCCGGCACGTCCAGCTCTCTGCATAGCAGTAGCTTTGCTAGTGGGCACTACCACCAACTGATCTGTCGCACTATCTGAGTCGAACCATTTTACTTTAATAAACCCACAGTCAACAACTAGAATATAATTTTGTTTTGTTTATATAAAAAAATTCTTTTGAAAATGAGATATAAAAAATTTAAATTTACCGTATACAACACCCGGTATAGTGATCGAAGTTTCAGCGATATTTGTTGCAAATATAACTTTACGTACACCTTTTTCCGCGGCAAAAAATACTTTTAACTGTTCTTTATGTGTTAAAGATCCATACATTGGTACCGGCTGCAATGTGTTATCGTCTTTCAAATTCATGTAGTCCTTTGTTAAACTCACAGCTTGTAGTACTTCTTCTTGTCCGGTGAGAAAAACTAAAATATCACCTTGAGCTTCCTTCTTATGAATTTTCCATACAGTCTCAACGGCTTCATTTACATAATCAGCACATGGATTGCTTAGATAAAATATGCTTATCGGATGTGTTCGACCTTCAACAGATAATATTATGCTTGAATTAGTTTTGAAGAAATCGGCGAAAGTTTCAGCATCAATGGTGGCTGACGATATAATTAATTTTAGTGTAGGTCTCTTGCTGACCACTTTCTTCAAAAGGCCGATAATAATGTCTGTTATTAAATTCCGTTCATGTGCTTCATCAATTACAACAACACTGTAACGCATTAATAAGGGATCTGTGAGGAGTTCACGCAATAGGATGCCTTCTGTCATATACTATTAAAACGAATGTAAAAATAAATGATTAGTTGGATGTTGTTTGTTTATGCAATTTGTTGCTCCTTACCTTTATAGCTGTAGCTTCGGATGTTTTTTCTAAAAATTTTACCACAAACCCGACAGTACTGCCGACAACTTCACCACGTTCCAGCGCTACACGATTTGCTAAAGTTATGGCGGATATGCGACGTGGTTGTGTTATACCGATTTCGCCCTTTGTATGCCAACCCAGTTCGTAGAGGTACTTGAAAAAGAAAATTGGGTAATTTATAACGCAATATATTATTATATATATATGCAAATAATATTCAATTTGAGCTTTTAAGAAATACAGAATAATTAACATTTAAATATTGCAAGAAGTTGTAGAGATTAAACTTTTTATTCCCGCTTAGAAATTTTGTATTAATTATTTAGTTATTTATGTTAAGAATATTTACAAATTTTGCATTTTTCTATTTTTTTGTGAAATTCGAAATACCTTAAAACTTATTAGAGCGATAAATTTGTAGCAAATCTAAGAGCTCCTTATATTTTAGCTTTTCTCCTTAAGAATATGGATTGAATCCACCCATACCTACCACGCTTGGAAAGTAAAATGCTTTCTTACACAAATACATAACTTATTTAGCGTTTTATTAAAAATCAACACAATTTGTTCTTTATTTTAGTATACATATTTTGCAGGTATTTTATATATATAGTGTTAAATTTTACATAAAATATCTTCGATTCAATAACAATTCACATTTTGTACAAACACGACATTTAGAAAAAGAAAATGGATCAGAACGATGTATTATTACCGGATACAGTGTTAAAAATGAAATTACGAGCCTCTAAAACATGCATTTCTGTGATACAAATTACAATTAACAGTACAATATAACCGACATATTGTATAGCCTTTAAGAAGTCCCACAATTTATCGCAAAATATACTTAACAAAACTAGATGTAGCAAGGAATGCACATTAACTATTCGCCACATCCACGCAACACATAAAAACCACGGCGATTTAAAGGTTATGTTCTGTCGGATGAATTGTGTTGGCGTTACATCATTACGCTCCAACATGTCTTGGTATACGGCGATATAGCGATTCCAAGCAGTCGAGCTAACAAGCAGCTGCCCTGTGAAGGTTAAAACTTTTTTGACCACCTTTGGCGTCATTGATTTGGCTTTAGGTCTCGTAACGGGTTCAGGTAGTTTTGATTCACTCATTGGTAGTTGAGAGTAACCACGGCGTGGTGGATTGTTTTTCAGGTAAAAGAAAATACCCAAAAGTAAGGCAATACAACCCAGACCATCACAAAGGCCATCGATATAATAACCGGATGTACCAACTTCAGATCGTTCTCCGTGTATATTCTTTTTAGCGCGCGCCACATGACCGTCTAGGTCGTCTAAGAAGGTGCGTAATTGAAAGAGTACCACACCCAAACGGCGATATCCCAAATTATCCGATGAAACCATTTTACCCGCAATGCATGCAACTCCTACATGGAAGAACGATATCATATTTGCTGTGATGAAATTGCTCCGGGAAATCCCGACGATATTGTCAAATATAGTTGCAAGCGGTGCAAATAGATAATGATTCGTATGGTCAAGGAGTACAGCTTTCACCGTCACATGACATAAAGGATTCACATCGCACGATAACATATGATGGCGCTCATAGTAACTGACCGATTTTATCATTGTATAATCCGTAGTTGCTTCACCGCCTAATGCATTATTCACTAATAAAGTTGTTGTATTTATGTGGTAATCTCGTTCGATTGCATATCTTTGTATACGTAAATATAACTGAATGTCCATAAATATATAAAATGCCAATAAAGCGAAGAGAAGGCATAGTAATATTTTACTAACTTGTGAGCTTGGACCCACCATTTTTTAATACAATCTTTTTGTTGGTAGGTATGTGTGTGTGAAATCTTTGTTATATGCGTAAAAGTTTATAAAAATTTTTCTCTGCGTTAATTTTTTAAGGAAATTTAGTTTTTATTGAATTGCTCCAATTAGCACCGGAAATAAACGTTCATGTCACAATAGTTGTATGTACGAGCAWATATGGTTGAAATGTGAATCTGGAAAGAATACCACTTAACGTAAACAAAAGCTTTATAAAGAATATTACAAAAACCGCAAGCAAATAAACGATATTGCACTTTATCGCATTTCGGAAATATGTGATTCATTGTAAATGAGCATACTGATGGTTTTTTAGAAATAACTGTATCCTATGGGTAATAGTTTATTGCGAAATAGAAATCGATTTCATAAACCCAAGTATGGTTTCATAATGCAGAATAAGATCTACCCGAGTTTTCTAATATACTTTTTTATGAATTTTATTTATAATAGACGAACATACTTTTACCAATAATACTGTATCATAAACGATATTTTTTTTTATATTAAAGCGAAATATTTATTAAAAAAAATTAACATCTCACAACCTACAGTTAAATAGTTTTTTCGAGGAATACATATTTCAGAAAAAATCTAATACCTGTGGTAGTTGAGTGCTTTTTCCGCTACCGGTTTCGCCAACTAATATCAAAACCTGATTTTTTTCCAAACAATATAATATATCTCTGCGGTACTTATGAATAGGAAGTCGCTTTCGTTGTTCAATTATTGGTAAATTATGATTTGCATTGAATACAAAACACGATTCCGTTTCATTAGTAGTAACATAATCGTCCCTTCTTGACCCTACTTCATCGACATCTGGAAAAAATTAGAAAGTAATTTGTTGGTAAAATTCAAACAGACAGGTTGTTCTACTCTGTCTCTTGCTAAAAATTTTCAGTTATAATACTTCGAATTAATTCTGTGTTACATCATTCCAATACTTATATCTTTACTAAATTCAAATTTGACTTTTTGATTTATGAACTATAAAAAATACTAATAATTCTCGTTAATGATAACGTATTTCATCGTAGTGATCATATGTTGACTAATGATAACATGTTACGAATTATTTACCTTTAWTCGCAATTAATGTATTAAGAAATTGTATATACACACATACTATATAGGGACTCAATACTTTATCTGAAACTACGCTTTCGCTGCAAGTGAAGTACTATATATAATCTACCACCTGATCAACATGGTATGCTCGTAAAAATGATGTTTACACCTTACGTTTATACTTTGTAATCAATATGGAAGGAATTCAATTACTTTTTTAATGCGCACGCCAGTTGTTATTACTCAGCACAAATGCAAAAATACGTTTTATTTATAGAAGAACGAAAGCTATTATATTTAGGCCAGTACCACAAAAAGTATTTACCACTTTTATTTTGTTTATTTGCTTGCTTTTTTTCAATGCATATGTTATATGTATGTATTTACAAACCTGGGGCAAGAAAATTCGGTTTCAGTTGTAGTGAAACCATAATACTCCTGTATTTATAGACAATTTTCGTGTACAATTTCCTTTATTAACAATATTGACAATTATGACTACGGAGACTTCACTCTTAATTAATAAACCAAATTGTGGTTTGTTMTTTTCTAAGGAGCAAAAGCAAATTATTGAAACACAACAGCGTACTCAATTGAAAAATACATTGCCACAGGGTGTGTTAAGTTAATTTTTCAATTTGCACAGTGTGTACAGRAATGTGAAAAATATTTTGTGTGTACGAATTTAATAGCTTTTCCTCTCTGTTCCCACATAAACGAGTATGTCAATTGAAAATGGAAACTGTTAACTCGTTTACACAAAAAATCAATAAATTTGTCACGAAATTCTGACATATTTGTACTAAATGTTGTGTTAGGATTTGTGATCGATATTTATTAATTAGTTAATTTGCAATATTTACGAACACTCAATTATTTGCATATATGTATGTAAGTTATTACACTAAATACTTTACAGGAATACAATGATGCTATTATAAATAAAATTTACGACTTAAAGTTAGTTCTAATAACAGTGGTCTCTCAATTAATAAATCAATTACTCATGACTTTTAAAGTAAATAACATTTTCTTCTCCACAAATAGCAGCAGCATGAACGATGATAGGATGATCGACAATAACATCTGTAGTATTTGTAATGACTACAGCAAGAATGCAGACTTGAATGACAGTAGCATGAGTCATGCAAACAATATAAATGACAAGCTGAATCACACATGGTTTTGTTTTGCTGCAAATAAAAGAAAGTCATGCAAACTTAATTATTTCAAAAAATGTCTAACACATTAACTATTTTAAGTAATAAGTTCGTATGTTGACATTTTAATGTCTGAATTTCTTTATTTTAAATTATTTAATTTTTCAACACTTACTTCTGTTAAACAATTTACTCAAAATAAATACGTTCCGACAAAGATTTCAAATGCGACTAAAGTCATCCAAAGCAAATTTCAAAATATTTGTAGTCAAAAATAGGCGCACCATCAGTACCTGGTTACCTGGTTAACATGTTAGATCGATAACATATATTTGAATTGCATTAACATACGAAAAAGGCTTACACACTAATATTCCGAAGTAGTAGGGTCATGCACGAGTAATATTAAATACAGTTAACTCGCTTTTATTTGAACTATTAACGCAGACTTAAAGATACAATATTATTTCTCAAATAAAATAGTCCTTTCCAGTTGGCTAGTAATACAATATAATATACATACATATGTAGGTATAAATGTAAATAGTCTGACCGAACAATTAAATCTTAGTAAAAATTTCGTCCTCATAAAATTAATAATAYTGTAATGAGAAACATTATTCATTTAGATTACTTACATATATTATCGTTTTTATTATTATATACATAGATACTTAACTATTATATATAGTGTTATATATTTGGTCTAAATCTGTTTTTTTTTTTATGAATTCTATTATTGGTAATAGTTTTACATGACAATTTATGCTCTAAATTAGTAATTGTATATGACTAAACCAGTAAATAAAAATAAATTTTCACACATATATGCATATGTATAGTATATTAATATAATCAATGTACGTACATATGTATGTACATATGTATTACGCACACAAGTCATTTCAACCTGACCTAGTATCAGTAAATAAACATTGGTAATATTTTTTTTGTTGCTATTGTTACAATTGTCTTTAATCCAGTTATATTTTTCAATCAATATCAATCCTTGGAATATATACAAACATATATTGCATTTTTGCATGCCTTTTGGTAAGAGAAGATATTTTCAACCACCGAGAAAGATTTGTGAATTCCAATTTCGTGAAAGAAAAAAATAAAACAATGACAGCAAGTTTTCTCATATTTAAATCGTGTAGGAACCACTTAAAAAAAAGGAAAAGAGATGAATAAATTTCATTAATAATACCATTTGATCAAATTTGACTGGGACCGAATCGATAACAGTTTTTTTCCAGATTGGCATAACTTTTTTACCATCTGATCAAATTTAACCCGGACTGTTTTTCTTATCGCCTTAAGAGGGAATTTGAGGGAATACAAGCACCCCAACGCTTTATTCAATTCGCCATACACTTGTTATAAGCCTGGGATGAGATGGGGTCTATCGACTACAGCGAATTTTGATTCCGGATAATTTTTCTTACGCCATTCTCTACATCATTCAACAGCTTCGACTTTTATATTCGTAAAACTACTTCTCATTACCTGTATTGATGCGTTTGATGAATGTAAGGTTTCTCAGCTACGTTGTCAATCGACTCCCCAACTCGACGTGAAACGAGTCCAGCACTGATACGTCCGAAGCGTTAACAAAAAAGTGTTGCAATCCTCTTCCATTTCTCTGATGTGAACACGACGTTTTCCAAACATTATTTCTTTAAATTCTTTGATGTTATGATCGCCGCCTTTATACACGTCTTTCTCGAAACTGTGTGTTTTGAAGTCGGTTGGCAAGATACAATTCTTAACGAAGGATTTACAGGACGAAGGATTTTTTTCCGATTACTATTTTAAAAAAATGTCGCTAAATTATCATTGAAATTTTATTTTTTTGTCAAAATGTCTGCTAAAACTCCAATTTTCAGTTTTTTTTTTTCCTTCGTCCAAGTTATAAGCTAAGTTTTTAACTAAAATACGTATTTTTTACAATTAGATAATCCTGTGAGGAGTTATACTGACAACGCGGGCGCATCACGATTTCTCCGGAAGAGTTTAGAATAACTTCTTCCMAAAATTTCAGAATTTGTTTATTAATAATGTATGTTTGTAAAAATATTTTTTGAAAAAATGCTGTTTTTTATCCGAGGAAACCTATGTAACCCTGACGTAACCGAACAATTCCCAACCGCTGACTCCAATTAATTAGTACAAGACATTTTTTTACACAGTCGATTTAGCTTACGTATATGTATATATTTATTTATTTATATTTAGAAACAAAAAGTGAAGTAATTACATAATATATAGCGTTATTTTTATTTTGTAAGTATAAGCAATAATGCCAGAAAGTTTTGTACATGCATAAAAAGGGGGAAAACAACATCTATCAACCTCAAAATACATGATTTTTCATTACAATTTTAAATTGGATTTGTTTTTGTCTTCTTTTCTAGTATATATATATAACATAACATCAATTCATCATATGAATTACATACAACAACTAAATGTATATTTCTAATTGAATTTTATATTCAGATAGTCGCAGGTTTAGCTAAAATAATAAGAATGATACGCGTGTCCGACGTGCATCACCTTTGGCTCTTCGAGCCATCCCGTAATGTCACATGCTCCCCTCCGAGCTGCTTGTTGTGCCTTTTGAATCTCCCATACCGCCAGCATTGTTATCGTCACCTCCTAAAGCGCCTGATGATGACAAGCCACCAGAGAGACCACTCAGGTCCAATTTGTACTAAAAAAGATAGAATTAAGCACTAAAATACAGCTACCTTCCATACAATTGCTTATTGCACGAATTGATGCAAAAAAAGAAGTAATAATTGAGAGACAAAAAAGTTTGTTTCCTCTCACAAAAGTGTATGTACGGTTCCAAAAATCAAAGTTTCGAAGAAATCAAGCCTTCTTTATTGAACCCGTTTCGAAAGTAGAGTAGAACTTAATAAACGATAAAATAAATTACATATTAAAATAATATTGTCCAAAATAACACATAGTGGGGTAGATAAAAAGTTGAAAAGAATTACACATGCATATGTAGGTAAGTAAGCATGCATACACAACGGTTCATAAACGATCATTTACCTTAGTCGCACATTCAAAACATTTTGATACAACCTTGTTAATTACACTCATAAGATTCTTAGTTTCTCGTATAACGTGGTCCACCTTTACAAATGTTGCATCCTTTCCGACAGTGTGATCTTTAACGGTAAATTGTAGAGTTTGCACAAAAGTCGGCACTCGGTCCAAAATATTCAAAAGATCCTTTTTATTCTGACTTGCTGGTACCTGCAGGGAGCACAAACAATTACAAACCGTTACATATATTTTGGACACCGAGTACTTAGAACACATTATACATACATATATACATTACATTAATACATACATAATACATATGTACATAAGTTATATATTCAGTTCACCTGATAGGAAAATTGTCGTAAAACTTTATATAAACGGTTTGCTTCTTCGGCAAAGTACTCGGCTTGCGTAAAGAGGTCTTGTGTCGTCCGCAAAGTGCCGTTGCCTTTCGTGAACTGATACATTGCAAATGCCATTGCCGACATGTTTTTTGCACGTTTAATTATGTCGTTATTTTCGTTAACTTCGTCGGTCCATTTCTCATTGAATGGCGCAATTTCCGCAGGCATGTCTTTTGTCTCAGCAGTGGCCACTTTACCCTGCTCCTCCTGTCCAACAGACAGCGGTCGTGCAGCAGTCGGTTTATATTTCTAGAGTATGAAAATGAAAACAATAAGAATGCATAAATTCCAAAGGATTTTCATTGAAAAAAAAAAAAACAACTCTTATAGGTAATATTTAGGTAGCTTATGTTTTTGTTGTAACAGCAGAAAACATCGTCAAAGTAATTTGGCGGAATGCTGCCGAGATGTTGTTGTTTTAACGYATGTCTAATCCTCGTTGGGATGGTAAGGATTAGTTAAGTTGTAGGCGACGTCGTCCAACGGAAGGCCCAAGAAATGTGTGTTTGTGTTGTGACGGTGTTGGATCAAAGGGGAGAAGGGCAGAAGGGGAGAAGGGTGTTAGATGGGTGGGGTTGGTGGGGCATGCAAAGAGGTGGCCAGTGTCATGCGGAGACTCATTGCATGCAGGACATATATTTCATATGTGGGGTCTATTCTGGATAGGTAGGAGTTTAATCTGCTGCAGTATCCAGAACGCCAGCTCTACGTCTGCATTAGGTGGTGGTTGTTTGACTCCCGGTACGCCATTCACGGAAAAGGAGTCAGTGAAGGTGTTGGTGGCTTCACTGTGAATGTCGGTCAATGCTTGTCGGAAGTGCGTTTCACAGATCATTATTCAATTCTAGCATATAGCTCTAAACGATTATATATTTGTATCTAATATGTTTTTGCTTACCTTAATTGATTTATTGTCGCATTGTTCGCCGGTAGTGTCTAAGATTTGTTGTGCAACATTTGTAATTTCGGAAATGAGCCATTTCCACATTTCGGCGAAAGCGTCCATATTCTCATTCGCCGGAACACTTGTAGGATATCTTGACAATATTTTAGCAGCTAGTATAACTTGTGGACCATATATCCGTAAATTAATAGCTAAACATTTCGATTGTACTTGTAAGCTCTCTGTAAAAGCGATGTGCTGTAACAATTTGCATACATCTATAATATGATCACAACAGTCGTGAAATTTATTCGACCACTCTTGAAAGGATGTCGGATCCTCATTCAACGCCAACAAATGAAAATTATTCACCAATTCCACTGAGGTCTTCAGCGAATGATATAGATCAGCCGTCTGATCGGCAACCGAGAGTATTAGTTGTTGTGTTAGATTTTTTGCTGTACCTATAACTCGATCAATTTCTTCATCCATTATATGTCTTGTATTACGTTCGGTCTTATATAAAATATTTAAACATTTTTTAAGCTCTAGTTTACAACGATCACAAAGGAATAAAATATGTTCTCTATTTTCATGACTTGTATAAGCTGAATCTGTAAAGTCATGGGTTTTCTCTAATAGTTTTTCAAAAGCATATATCAGTTCTTCGATTAATTCAATATTAAATGGTGTCATCAAGTCTCGATCGGTAAATGGTGAAATTTTTGTACCACTTTGTTTATAATTATTACCTATTAGAAGACTCTCATCTTCGCTACCAAACGAATTTCGACGTTTACTAGTGTATTCATTGTTCCATTTCTTTTCGGTTAACGTAGTTGAGGTGGCGATTTTCGAATAATTATTATTACCTATATACATAGTAGTAGGTTTGGTATCGTCCAACGGTTTCGAACGAAATTTCTCCAACAAAAAGGTTAAATAATTCGTTGATGATTGTACAGTTTCGCCGCCGATATTTTTCGCAGCATGTTCGTTATAGGTTAAGAATTGCGTTTCGAATATGCAATCTTTAACAACAAAATGTATTAAATCCATAGCACGTCTGATTTGACAAAATACGGTATCGCGATTTTCCTTAGCTATCATACAATCATAATGTAGGAGTGTTGCCTTCGATGAGGATAGCAAAATTGAAATGGAGTGTTCAAGTATTTGTTTAGCGGAAAACATTTGCGCTCGGCGCCTTTCCTCTTTGATATTATTCTGTTGATTTCGTATTAGATATGCAAGCTCTATCATTTCAATGCCGAATAGCGAGTAAGCTCGTACAAATTCGGTAAAATTCACAACAGATTCAAGCTTTCGTAAGCTTTTCACAATTTTCCTCTTTGCAGTGAGGAGTTGTTTAACAACAACAATATCAACTAAAAGCAAAATTCTAGTTACAGCGGATATGAGTGTTTTAGCAGCTATTATAATTGCGTTTTCATCGTAAACAGGTAATTCTAAAGTTGAGTAATTCATGTTATCCATGGCAGAAATATCACATAAGCGTTCGATTGATTTTCCTGTAAGCAAAGTTAAAAAAGATGAGTAAATATAGTTTAAAAAAATAAATATGAAGAGAGAACGCAAAAGAGTTGCTTTACAACGTAGCAAATACGTTTATTAAACACATTATTGTTTTGACAAGACGTGGATTTATGCATATGACCATCGAACTGTTGAAAAATCTAGCGAATAGAGCTTCAAAAGTGAGCTGATACAGGAGGCGAAGAAATAAATAACTGTGAAAATATTTTTTTTTTGTAAGTTCGAGTCAAATTTGATCATATGGAGGCTACTATGAAGGCAAAAGTAAAGAATTGTGAAAATATTTTTTTTTGAAAGTCCGGTTCAAATTTGATCATATGATATTACGTACGGTTGTAATTTATAAGAAAAATTTAACTTTTCGCGATGCCTTTAGTGCTTCTTCATTTCCGTTTAAATTACCTGCATCTCTTGCATTTCTGCAGCATTCCAAAATGTCGGATTTGATATCGAGATTGTCCTCGGCAATTATTTCGCCTATTGTCACGAACCTCTCAATTGCTAAATTTACCGCATGACCAACATGACTGATTGCCTTCACTCGACGGTCGGCAGCTCCGCCTTGATGCTTCTCAGTAGCCACCTAAAAATTGTTATATAACACAATTTTTAATTCAACTTTATGTTTTTTAATTCATTAAAATTTTTGTATTTAAAGCAATAACTACATATATACAATAAAATTTACAAAACAAATATACAAAACAGCGGCACACTTACCCTTCGCTCACATTCATACGACGACATTTTTGTTATAGTAGAATAGCATTCAGTTTAAAATCTTAGAATTAGATTAGTAATAATATAGGCGCAGTTTTGGAAAGTTCGAAAAAGTTTGCTGGAATAATCAAAAGCGTTGAAATTTTACATTTTAGACCAATTATTTACATTATACATATTATAGTAAGAGCTAGGTGCTAAATAAAATTAAAAATCAAAACAAATAATTTTTAAAAACATGGGTGTATACACATACATACATTATTTAAACCAAAAGAAAAAAATTATTCGCGTCACCATTTTCCTATGCATAAAACCTTAAAAATATTCAAGTTCCACTTAGTAAAAATTTATATACATATAAACGGCTATAATATATAAATCCTAACCTATACTATGAATATATACATATACATATAGGTATGCATATGAGGTTATACACCGTTGTATATATTTTAACTTGCACGCCTGTCCACCATGATTAAGTTGCAAAGGAGCATATTTTTGTTGTACGCATCACAGAAATGCGTAAACACACATACACATTTAAATATGAAAATCTACGCGTAAATTATAAATTTCTAATAACGAAAAATTAAACACCTTGAGCTGTGTATATGCTCCTACGAAAGATATGATTATACCCATAATATCTATGTATGCAATAACTATAATTTAATAWTTCTGGTGTTTAATGGCCAATATAAGCACTTGTTTATATACATTACATCAAATACATACATAAAAGTTTTTTTATGGTAAAGTTAAATCTCACCTGCGCCTCTTACAATAGTACCGTTATTTAATTTCTTTTCCGACAAACGCATCACGTCAGGACGCAATCCAAATATAATTTAACAACCAATTAGAGCACATTTTTATTAAGTAGGTATTTTTTATTTTGCTTGGAAAATCAAAAAATTGAAAACAAGTATTGAATTTTATGTTATAAAGCGCAAATGCGAAAAACCAACTAAATATTATATACAAATGGCATTGCCACATATTCGTTACGACATTTGTTGCTGCCATATTTGCGCATGACTTCCTGTTGTTACTTAAAATGTTTGTAAATATGCCGCAAATGTTGCATACTTAAAGGCGTTTAGTTGGTGAGAAATATATCGGTCGAGAAAAACATGCATGATACATTTTCTAGTTTACATTGATATATATTATTATCTTAAAGTAACATCGAAAAAGTCGAAAGTTATACAAAATRGCATCTTAAAAATTCATCTATCTTACATTGTTTAAGTCCATGTCAATAAGAAATATAATTCATTTGCTCTCTGGTCACTCYCTCAACATATGATCGAATGTTGTAATGAATTTTATATAGTATATCGATAACATTTTTGCCCACTATATGACTCTATGACTTGCAAGTCGAGCARAAGTTTTCTATCATAAGTTTTTAAGTGTTTGCATAATCCAGACGTGCCCAATAAGTGAAGAAAGTTGCATCATGTCGTGTCCGTTTTTAAGTCGCTTCAGTGCAAATTATGTTCGGAATTATTCAGAGTTTTTGGTGCAAACTTATGGCGTTTATTGTCCTGTGTTGAGCAAACAATTCCATACCAATGGTAATGATGGCAATAAAGTACAAGCAGGATTGGCTGCTGTAGCAGTACCAAAGCCAAATACAACATCTAATCAATGCTCCTACGCCCCCTCTGCTGTACGCCCAAATGAATCGTTAACGAAACCAATGCCGAATTGCGTAAAGGATATTGAAAATCGAAATGTTSTTGATGTGACTGAAGGGTTTGCATATGAAAGTTTTTTCCATGATCAAATTTTGAGGAAAAAGCAGGATTATTCTTATCGTATTTTTCGTAAAGTGAATCGTTTAGCTGGACCTGGACTTTTTCCACATGCTTTGGAATATTCGAAAGAAGAAAGACCTATTACTGTGTGGTGCTCGAATGATTATCTTGGCGTGTCGGCACATCCGAAAGTGAAGGAAGCCTCGATCAAAGCTATTGAGTGTCATGGTACAGGTGCTGGCGGTACTCGTAACATATCAGGCAACTCTCTACACCATGAAATGTTAGAAAAACGTTTGGCGCGACTTCATCAGAAGGATGGTGCACTTGTATTTACTTCATGCTTTGTTGCAAACGATTCAACACTTTTCACTTTGGCAAAACTACTCCCTGGTTGTCATATATTTTCTGATGCAGGTAATCACGCATCTATGATACAAGGCATACGAAATAGTGGCGTGCCAAAACATATATTTCGACACAACGATCCGAAACACCTACGATCAATGCTGCAACAGGTTGATCGTAAAGTACCGAAAATAGTCGCTTTTGAAACCGTACATTCAATGACCGGCGCAATTTGCCCACTTGAGGAGTTATGTGATGTGGCACATGAGTATGGCGCTTTAACATTTATCGATGAAGTACATGCAGTTGGTTTATACGGTCGTAATGGTGCAGGTATAGGGGAAAGAGATGGCTTGCTGCCGAAAATGGATATTATATCTGGCACTTTGGGCAAAGCATTTGGAAATATTGGTGGCTATATAGCGAGCACTGCAACTTTGATTGATATGATTCGCTCATATGCTGCTGGTTTTATATTTACGACATCATTACCACCATCTGTAGTCTGCGGTGCTTATGCGGCAATCGAATTACTCGCCTCTGACGAAGGACGTGCATTACGCAGCAAGCATCAGAGCAATGTAAAATATTTGAAAAGCTTATTGCAGCGTGAAGGTAATTAATTTTTTTGTTATTATTTAACGCTAAAATTATTGAATTTTTATTATACCTTGCGTATATTTTTCTATACATTTATAGTAATAATATACTAACAACCGAATCAGGCATTCAAACAGTAGCAATAATTGTGGTATAAAATTTTACTGCCTTTTGCTTATTTAGATTCTGCCATTGCATAAGTAGATATAAAAAAGCACACAAAATCATSAATGTATAGCGAGCGCTATTACAAATGTATATACATCTAAGTGCTTAATGAACTAAAAGTCAGTTTCAACCAATACTCGCGAAGTGAAGTTTTTCATTTTCGATTTTCTCTATTCACGTGAYAACGTCCATGGTCATATGAATTTGGCAAAAAGTTAGCTATAGATATATATAGATATATGTACCTAGGTATAAATATATATATTTATTTAAGGCGTGTATAGGTGAATACATAAACTTTTTTTTAGCTCTTATTTGGCACGCGATTCTTAGATGTCAGAAAAATCGATCTATTTAATTTTAGTTTTATATAATTAATTGCTTTAGATAATTGACGTAATTAATTAAATAACTTATTACAAAATCGTGCTTATATTAATTGATTMTATATATATTGCTAGGTTTTCCTGTGGAAGAAACAAAAAGTCACATAATACCAATTCGCATTGGTAATCCGTTAAAAACCACTCAGATATCGGATATTCTACTACATCAATATGGACATTACATGCAGGCAATCAATTATCCGACTGTGGCTCGCGGTGAAGAGAAATTACGTTTAGCACCGACTCCATTCCACACGGTCGAAATGATGCAACAATTGGTGTCCGATATGAAACGCGCTTGGAAATCGTTGAAATTACCAATGGCCGTACCCGATTGTCCAGAGGGTTGTTTGTTCTGCAATAATGGTTTAGGAAACGTATCGAATATGTTAACACCGCCAACGGTAAATGGTGATTTGAGATGCCAAGTTCCGAACTGCCCAAGAGTTGTTGCTGCAACGGCTTAATGCATTTTATTTACATACATATACATATACAAAATATATAAAGCACATACATATACAAATTTACAAATATCAATTGAATTTTGAATGGGTATCCGTACATAGTAAAATGCGATTATAGAATTGCTAATAAAATAATGCTTCAAGCGAAAAATTCAGCATTTTGCATAAATACATATTTATGTTTGGAGTTTTCATTGTTTAACATTATTCAGCATTGCATGCAAGTCTTAGTAGAGAGTGGTTGTTGGGTAAACCTTTGACTCTTATTCTAGAAAATATAAAAAATTTATAATCGAGTTGCTCGAATTGCTCATTTCTTATCAAATTATCGTTCACAATTTGTTTATTTATTACAAGCAAAATTTAAAAATTATTTTATTCAAACACATTCAGCAGCTGTTTTTGCTTGGCTGTTGAGTCACCAAAAAAAGAAAAAATATATAAATATACATATATACAAATGTATTTTCGTATGCATTAATGTAGGTGTAACAAAAACAGGTATTTTTTCATGTTATTGTACCAACTTTTGTTGCAGTGTATATGAGTGCAAAGATATCATTAACAGGTTTGGGGAAAAACATACATACCACTTAAGCACTTTGTAGCTGACAGTAAAGATATTTTTATTGTTTCGAAAGTGAATCGCGAAATCTAATTTTACAGTTTTTAAGTATACGTATGTATGTAAGATAAGATAAATGAATAAGGTCTACTAAGTATATGTATGCAAATATACATACATATACATATGTATATATATGCACATATCTAGTTTATTCAAGCAAAAGGAAACTTTTGTTAGTTGTTTATCTAATTCCGGTGTAATCGTGATTAATGGCGGTTGCCATTAGTAACCTTATCGACTATTGCGCTCATTAAGTGCTACTGCCTACACGCTGTCTCTTATACACATCTAGATGTGTATAAGAGACAGGTTAGTTGTTTATCTAATTCCGGTGTAATCGTGATTAATGGCGGTTGCCATTAGTAACCTTATCGACTATTGCGCTCATTAAGTGCTACTGCCTACACGTGCTTATCAGCTTCACACGTGGTTTTTGCTAAGTCAATGYAAATAAAAGCTAATACAATGAAGTTAAGAGGAAGTATATAAAAAAAAATTTATGTGCTTTTTTTTCAAGATTGGTGGTGAAACTAGCTGAAACCGGTTGAAGAGTAAAATACGTTTGACGAAACAATCACACGACCTACTACAACTGGGCAGATAACCTTAAGATTTCAAWAGTGGCCATGATAATAAAAATAAAAATTATCTCTCAAAGTTATTGCAAATTAATATTGAAATGTATTTCGGATAAATTTGCCGATAATAGGTTCTATGGTTTATTATTTTTGAAGTAGACTTAAATTGTATTATGAAAATATTTAAAAGGTGATATAATACACACATATGTTTGGTTCTRTTATCAGCAATGAACAACGTTTTTATAAATTTGCATTACTACATACATACATATGTACATACATACGTGGCTGTCAATTTTATTCGCACCATAACCGATCAGCTTTACAATTAAAGCTAATTCACCGCACGATATTCTAATCAATTTACAGTTAAAGGGATTTTCCCGTGAAATGTAAATTCTAAATTGAATTTTATTTCTATTTGCATAATCTTTCCAGTGCAAATTTATATACATATGTACATACATATACATACATACAGATGTTGATATTTAACGCCTGTTCAGCAGCTGTAATGAAATGTAACAACACTTGTGAAATAATATATAATATAATGGAAGTTTATAGAAAACGTTTAATATACATATGTACATCTTTACATATTTTTTCCAGTTTGCACCAGTTGTGCAGTCGTACGATATTAACATAGATAAAATGTGGTTTCCGCCTAATGACCGGTATAACAATTCTCGTTTCCTATGTTARAGCCAATTTTCGCGACAATGTTTCCTTATATTACTATTGATGAGATGTGGGTATAAGAATATGATTTCGAAACTGCCTAATAATTTAGAGAATGGCGCTCCAAAATTGAGCCGAAACCGAAATACCTAAATTTGCACATTTACACATTTACAAGTATATTGAAAATTTGATGAGGTTTGTTTTGTTTTTATCGGCTTGGGAGCTTTTGTTTTATAAGGGATTGAATGTTTTTATTTAATATACTTGAAAATGCAGTTTTTTGCAGTCTATGCCAAATTTTGGAATGAAATAACGAAAATCCGAATGAATTCTTATTAGATCCAGAAACCGTTCGGCGGCTCTTATTATCCAATTGGAATAGAGCTAAGCTGCCTTGTCAAAACCGGATTTTGAGCTGGGAATTTTTCGAAATATATTTTATTGCACTCGGGATTGATAGAAATAGGGATTCACAAATCTTGGTTAAAAACAAGAAGAAAGAACATTCGAGCACAAAATGCTGCCTTGTCAAAACCGGATTTTGAGCTGGGAATTTTTCGAMATATATTTTATTACACTCGGGATTGATAGAAATAGGGATTCACAAATCTTGGTTAAAAACAAGAAGAAAGAACATTCGAGCACAAAATAGATGGTGAATGGGGAGTTTTTATTTTAAATTATAGTATATATAATATTATTCCTACRTACCAAATATCAATTAGTTAGTGCATGCAATACAATATCATAGTGATACAGTTTCACAGTCCGCTAGCTCTCCTTTCCTTTTGATTCCGAGTATTGCTATAAAGCAATGAAGTCAATGACTTCATATGATCATATAACACTATCAATTAGTGGCCGTAAATTTATTATTTTCAATTCATGTCAACAAACCGCCACACACCGTGGTACCATCATAWAATCGCACATCACTGCCAGTTGTATATAGAGTCAGCTGGCAGCCAGCAACCATTGAAGTCACTCGTGACTTTCAAATCCCCTCGCTTCGCGGCTTGAGCGTCACCCAAGCTCTGGCCAGGCACCATGCGTTCATTTCTTTTATAGAAGCAGCTAACAGCTAGTTTCCCGTTAGTTAACATTATGACCGTTAAATCACATCACCTCACGGCTTGAGCGCCACCCAAGCACCGGTTAGGCACCGTGCCCG